AAAAAACCCGCAAAATACTTAAATGTACTGCTAATAGAATATTTGCGAGACTAAGTACTGAAAACAACTAACCATTACTGGAAATTGTGAAGAAGGCAGTGGAGTTGGCCCTTTGCAAAATAGGGAACTCCATTTTGAGTCTCAGAAAGAAGACCTAAATACAAGGATGCATGTATTATGGTAATTGAACAGAAGATACAGTATCAATTCTCCCCAATATTAATAGATAGATTCAATGTCATATAAATCAGTATCTCAGTAAGAAATTTAAAATAATGTCGGGTAAATGACAGAATTTTCAGAATCTCTCACCTAGCCCTAGTTCATTTACATATCAATAGGTGTTACCACTGAAGAGCCTCCCATCTATTTGGGACAAGAGGTGGAAAGAAAATGGTTATTCTCTCCTCCCCTTGATTCTTGGTACATAATAGTCTGGCATCAGCCAGTCACCAAGGACCCACCAATTGAATTCCTCCTGTAAAGGGCTGGCAGGAAGTAGAGAGCATGCTGTGGCTCAGAGTGGGAGCTGTGGGTAGAGGAGATGGAGGGTGCCAAGCTCAGCCAGCAGATTTGAGCAAGCTGTGAGCCATAAAAATGGTTTCTCCCAACCTACCCTTTCCCTTGACTTATTTCAGTTTCACTTATTTCATAGGGGAATTAGCCCCAGGCCAGTAACACCCTTCTCCCCTTAGCTACATGTGGTGTGTGGGTCAGCAGGGTCCAGTGAACTTAAAATATGTCTTCATGGGTGCAATGTTTGGGTGAGCTGCCCCTGTGGGTGGTGGGGAGATAGCCAGGAACCCCCTGTGAATAGTGGGGGTTTAACTGGGGATCCCCCTGTGGGTGGTGGGGATTCCTCAGAAGGGATTTGTCTGGGGTAAAGTGCCTCCTAGAAGAGTGAGCCCCTCCCCAGAACTAGGGAAGGGTGGGGACACTGGAGGCAGTGGAGTTGGCCCTTTGCAAAATAGGGGACTCCATAGGGGAAGTGAGTGACCACAGGGCAGCAAGATGTGTGGGGTGGCTGTTTCTCGCAGCGTTGAAAAGGATCACCAAGGAGAGAGAGGAGCATCAGCATTGATTGGAAGAACAGGAAGATGAGTTGTGGGATGCTCTGAAAAGGGAATGAAAGCTATTGAAAATTGAGGTCATGCTGCTGAGAGACATACTATTGGCATGGGAGCAGGCAGCAGAAAAATATGAACTGCAAGGGGCCTTGGGGAAGGTGAAGGAAGAGGTGATACCTTCAGCCCTGGAGATGGGAAGGAGGAACTGGGAGAGGATGAGAGGGTGGGGCCGAGGGTGGGGCTGCAGCTGAGGCTACTGCCTGAGGCACCCGCCTCTCCTGTATTAAACACCTGCCCAGTTGTGTTGAAGAATATAAAGATGCAACAACCATGGGTTCCTCAACAGAGGAACAGCCTCCTTCCCAAGTTGTGGAGCACTCCATGCTCTGCCCCTATACCCAGGCCAAGCTGGTTGATTTGAGCACCCAGTTTTGGCAGAAGCCCTCAGAACGTCTGCCTACACGGCTTTTGCCTCTTTTAGGAATTTAGTAGTAAATGTATTGTTTGGTCTCAGTCAGAAATAGGTAAACTCGCTTCCCTGATAACTCACCCCTCACTCCTCTCTCTGGCATAGGTTAAAAAATGCCCATCAGATCCCAGAGAATCATGTGGTGCTTTTGGATTGGCTGACTGCAGCCCTTAGGGCAGCATGGCTTAATCAGGGTGATTTACCATATTTCCCTGCTAGGAAAACATATGGCATCATAAAGCACACCCATGGTCCTTTTAATTCCCCAGTGTGGCCAGTGAAAAAGCTGGACAACTCCTGCTGTATGACTGGATTACAGAGAATTGAATAAAGTCACGCCCTGTCAACATGCTGCTGTCCCCTCTATAGCAGCAAACCTTATGGACACTCTCAGTCCTGAACTAGGGACTTATCATTATGTTGTGGACCTTGCTAATGCTTTCTTCTCTATTGACATAGCACAGGAAAGTCAAGAATAATTTGCCTTCATGTGGGAAGGCTAGTGCTGGATATTCACTCTCCTTCCACAGGGATACCTCCACAGTCACACCGTTTGTCACGGACAAGTAACATGGACATGGAAGCATGGGAGAAATCACCAATGGTGCAGTTGTATCATTATATTGATGACATTATGTTCATGTCTGATTCTTTTGCAGATCTAGAAGGTACGACACCTAGACTGCTGCAACATCTACAGGAGAAAGAATGGGCTCTGAACAGCACTATGGTTCAGGGACCTGGTTTGTCAGTAAAGTTATTGGGAGTTATATGGTTGCATAAGACTAAAGTTATCCCAGAAGCAGTCATAGATAAGGTCCAAGCTTTCCCTACCTCTACCACTGTGGTAGTATCACAAGAGTTTTGAGGTCTTTTGAGCTACTGGAGAGTGTCACTCACTTGGGAAAAATTCTTAGGCCCTTATACCTGTTGGTATGAAAGGGCATTAGGTGGGACGAGGATGAAACTGCTTTTACTGCAGCTGCTTTTACTGCTGCTAAGTGAGCAGTCAAGGCTGTAGAGCCCTTGAGTGTAATGGACTCATCAAGGCCCTGTGAGCTAGATGTTCATGTAACCAAAGATGGTTATGGATGGGGCCTCTGGTAGCAGCTTGGATGGATCTTCCAACCGATTGGATTCTGGATACAATTCTGGAAGGGACCAGAGGTCTGGTAGACCTTGATAGAGAAGTAACTGGCTGCTATGTTCCATGCCACTGGCTATGGAGCCCTTCACCAGAACAGCTTCAACCAAAGTAATAATGACCTATCCCATCAGAGGGTGGGTGCAAGACTGGACCCAAAGACCATGGAGTGATGTGGCACAGACACCTGCACTGGCCAGATGAGGTGCATATTTACAGCAGCATAGCCCCCTCCCCCTCCCCACTAGCTTCTTTAGTGGAGAACACCGATGCTTACTGTGGCCAGTGACATACATAAGTGGAAAGCAGGAAGAACTTGCTCTGGATCCATTAGTAACAGACCCCCTTATGAGGGGGGAAGAGCCCCTGTGCCTGAAGATGCTTGGTATACAGACAGCTCCAGTCATGGGTAGACCACAAAGTAGAGGGCTGTGGCATTCCATTCCAAGACTGAGACAATATGGTGGAAGATTGGGAGGGGAAGAGTCGTCCATGGGCAGAACTGCAGGAAGTATGGCTTTTGATTACCCAGGAGTTCTCCCCAATAATTACATGGACAGCTGGGCAATCTTTTGTGGTTTGACCTTGAGGCTACTGATGTGGTACTAGGTCAAATGGATGGTTGGTCACTGGCCCTGCTAGGGACAAGACTTTGGCAAACCTATGGGCCTCTGGTGAGACTAGAACAGTTACTATATATCATGTGACTAGCCATTTGCCTTTGGCATCCCCAGGGAATGATGTTGCAGACACATTAGCCCAGGTGAGTTGGCTAGAAAGAAATCCTGCCTCTGATGTAACCCAAAGGTTGTATCAGTGTTTGTTTCATCTGGGGCAAAAACAACATGGGCTGTAGGATGTTGGTGGGGCTTGCCATTGACCTTTGAAGAAAAAGCAGAGCCCAGCAGAAGTGTCTTGTGTTCTCTAAGAGGGACTTATACCAAGTCCCACAGCAATGTGGGACAATAGTTAGGGGCCAGTACCCCTCGTCAGGTGGCATAGACTGTATTGGGCCTCTGCCCATATCAGAAAGATTTCGGTATGCCATAACTTGTGTGGACATGGCTACTGGACTCTTGGTTTATCTCCCTGCACATTGTACAGATCAGCAAACCACCAAAAGGGGCCTAGAGGGTCTCTGGCTGACCACAGGTGATTCAGAGCAATCAAGGCACCCACTTTACTGGATGTGTGTTACAATAATAGGGTGCAACAATTAGGGATAAGGTGGAAGTTTCAGGTACCATATAACCCTTCTAGGACAGACATGATAGTGAAGTACAATGGTTTGTTGAAATGTGGCCTGAAGTCAGACAATAACTCTACAAGGATGGTCAGCCCACTTGTGGACAGTGCCACAGCATTTGAATGAAAAGCCCTGAAAAGGAGCCTTAAGTCCTGTGGACATGCTAGCACATATTGCTGCCTTATCTATACAACTTCATGTGCAAACCAAAGAGGAGTTACTAAAGCCAGGTTATGGCCAGCAGAGCAACATCCTGCTTCCAGCACCAACTGCTCTTAACTCTGGAGACTATGTTGAGTGGACATGGCCCTGGACATTTCAACACATGGACCAGCAGTGGTTGGCCCTTCTGGCACCATGGAGACAAGGCCTGGAATTTTGCTTCCTGTGTGTTCCTGGAGTAACAATAGAGTGGCCCCCAAAGATCACAGTAGTGTACCCAAAATGGCTGAAAGGTAAAACCTTCTTATGGGGAAGTTTTGTCTTTTTTTGTCTTTATGGCCAGTGTGTGTACCTCTTGTAGCCCTATATATTGACCCATCTTTAACTCCCACAGGGGTGAAAGTCTGGCATATTAGACCAGGACGAGATCCCATTCCTGCCACTGTCCTTTCACAGGACCACTCTCTTGCATGCATCCTACGTGGTGGACAGGATTTGCTTATGCTAGTGTCATTAAAACATGTATTTTATCACCCTTAAGGTTGTGTTCTTCTACAATCCTTACATATTTGGCCCAACTCCTGGCCACAGCTGGTGCTTGCTGAGTGTGCACGGAGCTCCCTGCTGCCCTGCTGGTTCAGTTGCCAGCCTCCTGTGGAATGGACAAGCTATTATTGTATGTTGTTAGTCTGGTTGCAGTACTCCAGTTTTCCTGCACAGGGTCCACTGTGGAAGATGGGAGGCACATAGATTGCTAGGCTTGAATTCTGGAGGGGTGTATTTTGGAGTAAATGACAGAATTTCCAGAATCTCCCACCTGGCCTTAGTTCATTTACATATCAGGTGTTACCACTGCAGAGCCTTCTGTTGATCTGAGGCAAGGGATGGAGAGAAAACAGCCATTCTCTCCTCCCCTCCATTCTTGGAACATAATTGGTCTGGCATCTGCCATTCACCAAGGACCTGCCAATAGAGTTTCTCCTAGAAGCAGCTGTCAGAAAGTAGAGAGTGCCCCATGGCTGCAGAATGGAAGCTGTGGCCAGAGGAGATGGAGGGTGCCAAGCCTGGCCAACAGATTTGAGCAAGCTGTGAGCAATAAAAATGGTTTCTCCCAGTCTACTCTTTCCCTTGACTTATTTTGGTTTCACTGGTTTCATAGGGGATCCACCTTGGGCCAGGAACACCCTTTCCTCCCAGAGCTACAAATATAAAGAATTCTTCTAAAGATATATGAAAATGCAAAGTACTTTGCAGAGCCAAATAATGTTTAAAAGTCAAACTAAAATTGGAAAACTCATACTGGCTGATATTAAGATTTACTCTAAAGCTAAGTAGTCAAGACAATGTATTACTGGTATAAAGGTATATATCTATATATATAGATCAGTGGAACAATGGAGAAGAGTAGATTCCAGAAATAGGTACACACATATTTTGGCAATTTATTTTCAAAAAGGTAAAAACACAACTCAATGGAAAAAGTCTTTTCCAAGATATGATATTTGAACAACTAAATACCAAATTTAAAAAAAATCTCAAAATCTTTCCTCACATATACATATAAATTAACTCAAAATTGTACTACACCTAAATAAGGAATTCTTGAGGAAACATGAGACTGTTTGTCTTTTTATACTAGGCAAAGATTTCTTAAACATGTCATAAAAAATATGAACCATAAAAGAATACATGATAAGTTTGATTTTATCAAAATTGGAACATTCTGGTTTATCAAAAACAGAAATATGAAAAGCCAAACTGTAAATCTGGAGGCAATATTGGCTGTACATAGATCTGACAAAGGAACTCCTCAATAGTGAGACAAATAGATTCATTTTTAAAATGGGCAAAAGATTTGAACATCTCAAAAAGGATAGTAAATAGTTAATAGGCACCTGCAATGAAATGCAAAAAAAATGACAATGATATTTTAGCATAGAAAACTTAAAAATCTAAAGATCTTGAGACCTTTATTACCTAAAAATTATTCACAGTTGTGCATGATTCTCAGCCTATACATATGTGGTACAAATATATAATTCCCTTTCTGATATATTTTATTCCAGACAATACTTTGTAGCCAAACACAGTATTTTAATTTTAATTACTGCCAAGTGTTGAGGCTTTTTTGAAGGAACACAAATCCATTCTAAATCACATGGTAGAAATAATGTTTACTGACCTTTTGTAGGCAGGCTTTACTGCAACAGCAGCTACATCTTAGAGCTTTATGCATAGTAATGACGTCACGGCCTACATTATCATAAATTGTCATGGTAAAAGGCCTTGTAGGTCCACAGAAGTGTCGCAGAAAACAATTACTTTTCTCTTCTGCAAAATAAATTCTCTGCCCTTGATTGTTCATGACTTCATATTTTTTACTAGTTTCAAAATGTCTGAGGACTAGAGAAGGAAACACTGTGTTGATTTATTAGTAATACTGGTGGGAGATTTGTATAAATTATATGTCAAATTACCTTCAAATATGAAACTATAGGTTTGGTAATACACTGCTTGGCCCTAAATTACTTATCTTCACTGGTATCTTACTTTCTCCATACAGAAAAATAGAAGAGATGCACTAGCTCCTCTCTGGTTCCTTTCACTGCTAAAATTCTTTTCAACAATTTTTTTGAATGACTTTTTGTATAATTTCAACAAGTTTTGTGTATAATTTTTGAATTTCAGAGATTAACTCATTACTCTTTTGAGTTGTGTTAAATTTTGTTTCATCTTTTCTTTCCTATAGGACTTGAAAATATTAGTTTTTCAATTCGGATAGTAGAAAAAAAAACATTTTCACTTAGGCTAAGTTGAGGGAGACAGTAAGCATGCTCATGTATTGTCCACATAAATAATAATCAAATTCACCATTTTTGAAAGCAAATGGAAATATCATATTTTCTCTAATTGTTTGACTTTTGTGTTCATGCAAACAAAATAATCAAAATTGAAAAAATGCTTTTTGCACTAAATGCTCCCTACTGCATTACTTAGAAAAGAGGAGAAAAAAGGAAACCAAGTAAATATCCAACAAGAGGCAGCATGTAGTATCCCCTTTTGAGGATTATTGTGTAGACATTTAAAATATTGGATTTTAAGATAAAAACAACAAAAAAGCATTCATTGAATAAATGCTTCTATGGAGTTGAAAAACTTCTATGGACAGTAATAAAAGTCATTTTTAAAACCTCAGAGGAAATGAATCAGTAGTTATAGATGGGTGATTTTTTTTCTCCTGTTTTCTTTATTTCAGATGTTTTTGAATGAGTATATGTTTAATGAGTATATGCCACAATAATATACATTTAACATTTTGTTTTGTGTTAACCTTTGAAACAGGTTGTTAGGGAATTTCCTCATTTTTTAATGACTTAATGGACATATGCACCTAATTATTTTTCATATTGTATAAATACATTTGAAAGATACTTTTACTTAATGTTCAAAGATAAATAATGATTCAAAATTAATGAATAAAGTTTTCTGACTGCCTTTTAAATTTAATCTCTTTTTATAAGTAGGAATTCCCTATGCATGACACAAATTTAAAAATTCAAATGAGGGTATAAAATGAAAAATAATTTTTCCTTTCATGCCTATTCTGTTTCCTCTTCCTTCCCCAATTTCATATATATCCTTCTAGAGATATCTCAAACATATGCAAAGCCTAAGTATATTTTACACACAGATACACACAACTATATGCACTACTTTGTAACTGCTTTTTATACTTAGCAATATATCTTGGAGATATTCCTGATATTCTGCAGAGTTCCTCATTATTTTAAATAATTACACAGCGTCATGTGAAAATATAATTTAGAGTAGTAGTTCTCAAATTTTAGACTGCATCAGAACAATATGGAGGGCTTGATAAAACACAGATTGTTGAACCCCAACTTTGGGTTTCATGATTCAGCAGATCTGTGCTGAAGCCTTGGAATTTGATTTTTAACATGTTCCACGATGACGTTGATGCTGCTGGTCCAGCAACAATGCTTTCAGAATCATTACTTTGGAGATCTAGTTCCCTATAACATGGAAGGTTAGATTTTTCTCTCTCTCTCTTTTTTTTTTTTTTTTGCTATTTTTATGGTTACTGAAATTATAAGTAACTGTGACTGTTTCCATTCTGTGAATTCCTATAACTGATTTTTACATCTCATGATTTATATGACTTTGTACTGTGTGTTTTATTTAAGTATATTCACCCTCATATTTCAAGGTAAGCCCAGGTCTGACTCTTTGGTTCAGTCAAACTTGCCAACACATGCCTTGCTCATTATAGGTACTCCAAGGGGGTTCTAAAATAAGTGGTCTTTTATAAATAAAATAAGTGGTCTTTTATAAATAAAGCTTTTAATAAAATAGCAGGAAGAGCTCAAAGAAAGCATTCATTTATAATATACTTACACTGAAAAGTTTTTATGAATTAAATAAAACTATAAATGCCTTTTTCAGTCTTAGATCCTCTAATGTATATAAGAAAGGTCATCAGTGGTGATAATACTGTGCTTTTAACATTTCATTTTATTTACATGTATTATGGCTTCATCTTCATGAAAGGGATATTTCTACTTAGTTGAGGAAGTAGAGATAAACAGCTGTACTCAAAGGGCACTTTAATTTCTCAGACTTTGGAGTAGAATTGGACTGCTCAGAAACTTACCTGCATTCTGCTTCTACCAGCAGAATTCCTGAAGAAGCTGGACTCATTGCTTCTCTGAAATACTTGTCATTTGAGTTATTCAAGATGAGAAAACTCTTTTGGGAAATATCCCAACCACTTAGCAAGACTAAACTGGCAGACTACTCTTTTCAATACTAATTTATAGCCAGTATCTTGCTCCTGTCCCATGAAAAGACTATTGCATTCACCTTCTCATCTTCTAAGGACCTTCTATATATTTTCTTTGTATTTCAAGGTTTAGTTTTTTTCAGAGATAAGAAGCACTTAAAGTTATAGAGATTGGTCTAACTATAGCAAAACAAGTTATATATTCAAGAATGACTATATCAGTGTGTTTGGTACATACCTTCCAGAGGATCAGAATGTTGACATACGAGTAACTGATTTATCTATTAAAATAGAAAATAAAGATAGATGTTATGACATAATGAAACTAAATATAAATGGTTTTCAACTGAAGTTTTTATGGTTTTGTTTATGGAGTCTTTCCCAACTAAAGCCAGAAAGGAACCTTACAAATACCAGAAGCCCCAATTAATACCAACATGATATACTGAGTGTAAATTGTTACCTACATAACTACATGACCTTGACCTCTTTAAGTACAATTAAATCTTCATTCCAATAAATATACATTAATACTTATGTTTAGGATAATTAAAGTAATTGATATATTACAGTAGTTTAGCTGTGAAGTTTTTTTATCATAGAAAAAAGAAATAGAAAGTCTATAAAGTGTATTCTTTGTGATATATTGTTAATGTACTTAATATTTTTGTTGTCCAAAAATATTTAGACTTTTATTTAAAAATGTTTGAAATTCACAGAGAAATATCTATACAGTAATTTGAAGTAAAAATTTTAATGTAGTTTTTACCCACATTCAAAAATGTCATTACATTTATATCATTGTGACAAGTTTATAATTGTTAAAACTGTAAACAACCTTTTTAAGGAGGAATATATATACTGTTAAGTTTAAAAGAATTAAGAAATAAGATAAAGCCAATGATTAGTCACGTGAAATGCCAAAGTTATTCAGGGACAGCACTACAGGAAATTAAATCAGAACTTACAGCCTAAACAAAATACAATTCAAGTGTCATTAAATTGGGTAGACATTTTCAAATATTAGTGTTCACATTTTCCATTTGCAAACCAGGCTTCTAATATCTAAGCAGCTAGATGAACTAAAGATTCCTGAACTCAATTTTTACTTACATTCTCAAAATACAATTTCCTATTTTAAAAAGTAGGTGTTTATTTTTAAATGGATTTTCCAGGAAACAAATTGGGAAATAAAGTTATATTATTTCAAATGTAAATTTACTACCTCAATCAAAAATTAAAATGTAAAATTCTTAACGTTGCAAGTATAGTATTTTTCTCTCAAGTCACAAATTTTTCTTAGAACACAAATTATATTTTGAGACTCTAACTTCATATTATTGATTGATCAAAAAAATTAATAAACACATACATACCTGACTCAAATATTCCAATCCAGGTGGACAGTTGGATATTGACTCTGGTATTTGCATCTGTTGCATCATTGGCTGTAGATTACAAGAAGCCATAATCTGGGTTATATAAATGCTCAAAAGTATGACAGATTGGAGGAATTTCTCCTTTTATCTTTAAAATCTAACACTGCAGAGACATTAACTTGGTTAAAGAGTGAAATCAACTTCAACTTCAGGTTTAGTTTTTCTTCATTAAATGGTATAAACATCATCCATACATTAAATGGTTTTCAACTGAAGTTTTTATGGTTTTGTTTATGGAGTCTTTCCCAACTAAAGCCAGAAAGAAATCTTACAAATACCAGAAGCCTCAATTAATACCAACATGATATACTGAGTGTAAATTGTTACCTACATAACTACATGACCTTGACCTCTTTAAGTACAATTAAATCTTCAGGTACAGAATCATTCATTAATGGCTGGATGCACTTTTCCCCTCTAATGTTGAGATGTGTTATGGTAGACAGGACAACATTTTGTTTTGGGTAAAGACCAGATAAAATTTTTAACAATGAGGTTTGGGGAGCTGTATATCTATAGTGTCATAATTATAACAAACATAGAATAAACATGTATGGAGTCAAAATTTTCTTATTAGCTGTGGTTAAAGCCTCATTATTTTGTCTTTTCCTCAGGTTGTATCAGAATTAAACTTGAAAAATACATTTACAAACCCATGCTTCCAGCTATTACTTTATGAGGATGATTCTAACAGTGCCTATAAACATTTTGAAGGTATTAAAGAATTTACTTACATTGTTTTGGGAGCAAATATTGTAAGTTATACTCTCATTCATGAACATCAAAAGAAAAAACAGTAACAAACAGCTCACAAAATGAATACAGGACATGAACATCAATCATGATAAAGGAATTTTGGAAAACTATTTACTACAGAAAATGAATGAGTTTTAAATAACAGACTGAACTCCAAATAATCAGACTATGAAATGGGTTAAGGTAAAGAGAAATGAAGGAAGGGTCCTAGCAAAAGAGAGTAAAGTGCAAAACTAGGAGCTATTTGCTTTCCTTTCTCTCTCTTTCCTTCCTTCCTGCACCATTCTAGTTGCCATTAAGCACATCTGTAATTTGTGGGAAGGGGGTCAAAATATCAACATGAATGGTTTGTAAGAAGTTGGTTCCAGCCCTCATAGATGACATTGAGAGATTCAAGACTTCGATGGAGGAAGTAGAGCAGATATGGTAGAAATAACAAGAGAACTGTACTTAAAAGTAGATCCTGAAGATGTGACTGAATTGTTGCAATTTCATAAGACTTGAATGGATCAGGAGTTGCTTCTTATGGATGAGCAAAGAAAATGGTTTCTTGAGATGGAAACTATTCCTGGTGAAGGTGCCATGAAGACTGTTGAAATGACAACAAAGGATTTATAGACTATGACATAAACTTACTGTGGGTAAAATACTATCAGACAGCACTGCATTCTAGAGAGAAATTTCTCATAGAAAGAAGAGTCAATCAGTGCGACAAACTTCGTTGTTGTTTTAAGCAATTCCCATAGCCACCTCAAATTTCAACCACAGCCACCGCCCTGGTCAGACAGCAGCCATAAACGTGGAGGCAAGAACTTCTACCAGTAAAAATACTATGACTTAGTGAAAGATCAGATTATGGTTAGTATTTTTTAGCAGTAAACTTTTTTTTTAAAATTAAGATACATAGTTTCTTTAGACACAGTACTATTACAAATTTAATAGGCTACAATATAGTGTAAACATAACTTTTATATGTGCTGGGAAACCAAGAAATTCATTTGACTTGTTTCATTGTGATACTCACTTTATTGCAGGGGTCTGGAACCTAACCCACAATATCTCTGAGGTATGCATATAGTGGTTAAAGGACCATCTGTGTCTTGTTCCTGATTTTAGGGGAAGAGTATTCAGTCTTTAACTACTTAGTCTCAGGTTAGCTGTGGGTTTTATTTTTTTATATATTTTTTTAATTTCTGTTTTTTTTTGGGGGCAGATGCCATTTACCAGGTTGAGGAATTTCCCTCTATTGCTAGTTTTTTGAGTGTTTCTTTTAATCACAGAGAGTGTTTATTATTTTTCAAGCATTTTTCTACGTCTATAGAGATGATAATATAGTTTTTTTCTATTTATATGGTGCATTATATTAACTGATTTACAGATTTTAAATCAACCTTGCATTCCTTGAATCAATCTTACTTGGTTCTGGTGTATAATTCTTCTTACATCCTGCTGGGTTTGGTTTGCTGATATTTTTTTGAGGATTTTTTTGTTTATATTCATAAGAAATTTTGCTTTATTTTCTTTTTATGTCTTTGATTTTGTTATCAAAGTAATACTAGCCTCAAGAATGATTTAGAAAGTTGATCTCTTCTTGTATTTTTTTTTGGAAGGGTTTATGATGAATTTGTATTTATTCTTTTTAAAATTTTTTGGTAGAATTCATCCTTTAACCCAAATGGGTGTCGACTTTCTTTGTAGTTAGTTTTTTTTTTATTCTATGTATTGTTGTGGCTGTATTCAGATTTGTATTTCTTCTTGCATCAAATTTGGTAGTTTGCATCCTTCTGTATATATACATTTCATATGTTATCCAATGTATTCGCATATACTTGTTCATAATATTATTTTGAATCCCTTTTATTTCTGTAAGGTTGGTAGTATTCCTTGTTTCATTCATGATTTTAGTAATTTTAGTTGTCTCACTTTTATTGGTCCATCTATGTTTGTGAATTTTGTTCATCTTTTCACACTATGAACTTTTGGTTTTGTGGGGTTTTCTCTCATTTTACAATTTACTGCTTGATTAATTCCCTCTCTAATCTTTTTTATTCCTTCCCTCCTGCTTGATTTAGGCTTAATTTTCTCTTTTTTTCCAATGTCTTAAAATGCCTTTGGCTTTGAGATCTTTCATTTTTTATTATAGACATTTATATTTATAAGTGTCCCCCATGCACTGCTTTACCTGCATCACATCTGTTATGTTGTTTCTTCATTTTCCTTCATCTCCAAGTGCTTTTTAATTTTCTTGTGAATTCCTTTTTGACTTGTTTGTAATTGGCAGCAAGTAGTTAATTTCCATATAGTTTTGAATTTTCCTAATTTCCTTCTGTTATTAATGGCTAATTTCATTCCTTGTGGACAGAAAAAAACATGTTGTATTATTTTATTCTCTTAAAATTTATTGTGAGTTGTTGTTTTATGGCCTTACATGAGGTATAGTCTGGAGATCATTCCATGTCCACTTGAGGAGGATATGTATTTTACTGTTCTTGGGTGGAAAGTTCTCTATATATCTGCTGAGTCTAGTTGATTTATAGTATGATTCATGTCTTCAATTTCCTTACTGTTCTCCAGTCTAGTCTAGTTACGTAGGTTATTGAGAGTAAGATACTAGACTCTAACTCTTATTATTTATTTTCATTACTGTCATTCTTGGCTTCATGTGTTTTTATATTTCTTTTTGTTAGGCTTGTACATATTTTTTATTATATGTAAATATATATATATAATACACATAATGGTTATATCTCTTGATGGAATAACTATTATTATGAAATTCCTTATGTGTCTCATTGCATTTTTGTTTTAAACTCTATTTTATCTGAGAGTAATATATCCATTTCGCCTCTTTTTTGTTATTATTTTCATGGTATATTTTTCCTTATCCTTTGTCTTTCAAATTACTTGTGTCTTTGAATATACAGTGTGCTACTTATAGACAGCATAGAGTTAGATTTTTCTCTTTATCCATTCAGTCCATCTCTGTCTTTTGATTAGGTTGTTTAATCCATTCATATTTAATGATATATTGATACAGTTAGATTTATATCTGCCATTTTGATTTTCATTTTCTGTAAGTCTCATATATATTTATAATTTGTAATATATATATATGTACACATATATATATAAAATTTGTAATTTACATTGTCTTTATCTCCTGGTTTTTCTTTTTCCTTTTTTTTAATGAGGTACATATAATAAAATGTACAAATCTTAGGGAAAATGTCTATCAGATCCTCTGCCCATTTTTAAATTGGATTTTTTTTTTTTTGGTATTGAGTTGTATGAATTCTTTATACATTTTGGAATTAACCCTTTATCAGATATATGATTTGAAAATAGTTTCTCCCATTCAGTAAGTTGCCTTTTCATTTTGTTGATGATTTCCTGTTTTGAACAGAAGTGTTTTAGTTTCACATCGTCCCGCTGGCTGATTTTTCCTTTTGTTGCCTTTGGTTTAGGTGACAAAGCCGCAAAGACACTCTCATTTTTGGTGACTGTCAAAATTAGTCCTCTTTGAGGGAAATATGGTAGAAAACATTGATTTTTCCTCTTTAATGACATCATTCTCTCTCATCTGAGTTTGACAGATAAAAATATTAACCTGAAAGATATTTTGTTGACATTTAGATTTATAACTAGAGCAGTTAGAAAGATATTACAGGTACCCTAACAAAGAATAATATTGGGAATTATTGAAATGGATCATGGAATGACAGCAGGGCATGTAGGTGGAGAAACTGAATCAGGGCAGGAAAGAAAAGGCTCATATAGGGTTGGATATATTTTATCTCATTATAAGTGGCTACTTGTAAGTCATAAATAAGACGTAGTTGGAGATTAGTTACTCATGAGATTTGATGTATGTTTTTCTGTCCTTCAAATAGAAATATAAATGTCTGTTTTCTACTTTGGATACTGAACACTTGGGTGGTAATCTCAGAAATTTGTCCTAAACACACAAACCTAGATACCCTTTCCAAAAAAGGCAGCAAGATTTTTCACTTCTATCAGAATAGCAGTTATAAAATTAATACAGATTAATGATAAAAGCAGTTATAGATCATTTTGCCTGAAGACCATAGTTTCCCAGTGTGAGTTATAAAATCTCGTTAAGATAGACTGGATAGGACCACGGATACAAACAAAGGGCAGAAGTCAGTTATGGTGACCAACAGAGTACATCGGTCTGGAAACACCACGTGAAATGGCTACCTTGGGGGTGAGTTTGAAGAGGCTTGATTCTCTGTTTTGCCCACATCCGCAGCCGCTCAAAGTTGTGAGGAGTCGTCTAACATGGGGAAGCCAAGCAGACACAACAATAAACATTCCATTCAGAACTTCAAAGCTTATTAGTTCTATGAATACTTATGTGTATACAGATATAAAGCCAATCATTCTACTGAGGTCCTGGAACGGTAGCAAAGGCAGGAAGTGGAGTGCCAAGCACCACACCCTAAATTCAAATAATTGACCACGTTGGGGCTGCCTACTCATGGACTTACTGATACTCAAGGCTCTACCGCTCTCTGTTAAACAATGATCATAGAAAGAATTTTTAAAATTACACTATGGTTCATAAAATGAGCTGTGTTGTATGTAGTCTTTTGTTGTATTGGTTTACTTTTTTGCACCTTGTGTAAAGGGATGTTCTTGAGAAATCCCCATTCAGACATACACAAAAGGGAGAAAGGCTAATTAGAATGTGAATTAGGACATCACATTTGGTAACAGACTTTGGGTCACAGAACGGTGCAGACTTTGGTATCTCAAAACAGAAGTGATATATATTAGAAACGGAGGAGAGAGAGCAATTTCACTGCACAAGGACCCTGAAACAGAGGGGTAGGAACACAGTGGTGAACTTCCCTCATGCATGGGCCCATTTGCTAATCTTAGCTAGACAACACAACAGTCGTGGACACTTGTAAACCCCCTTGAACCACGAGAAGAGACTTGCACATCCTGTGAGTCTGAGCATGAAAGGCAACCTCGTCCCTGCCCATGATGTCAGTGAAGCCCTGGCTGGGGGTGTTGCCCATAAACGGGACAGAGCTTTAGCATCTCACAGCCCTAACTGTACAGGAGGGAGAGACAAGTGCCCACTGATCATTAAAGGGGGAAAGTCCATGATAAAGGCTGCCACATTGTCAAAGATGAAGTTAGGTCAGTCCACAAGGAACTATGTCCCTCAAGTAGCTAATCTCCATGGAGAAGATGAGAAGGGTTGTTTAGGTCACAGGCCAACCCTCAGCCAGATTAACATGTTGAAATCCTCCCCTTTCTCTGGACCAGGAGGAAGCAACGAGTACGCCAGAGCTGTGCCCTGTGGCCCCAGTAATCACTCGGTTGCAGAAAACTGACAAAATGATTAAAAGAATTATAGAGATACTATGTAACATTCAAAATCAAGTATATTTGGAGTTTTGAAAGAGCCATATTATTGCCTTTTACAAGCCTTTTCATCCAGAACTGCCCTCTTAATTTCCTTTTCTTCAGTCACTGAAAAGAATAAGCTACATTTCCTATACTTTTACAAGAATCCTGAGGTTATATAGAAACCTCAAAAAACCAGAATTGTTAAAAGGTTATATTCATATAATGAGCTTTACCATTAACCATCTTAAAAAGCATTAGTCTCTGTTTTCTATCTATAAATTAAAAGGTTTCCTCTGGTATACAATTCTATAGTTATGATTATACTCTCAAATACTCCTTTATGAGCACTAAAGTAAGTTCCACTGTTCATGTTTTGATATGTAGAAATTAAGCTAAGTTAACACTGTGAATTCACAATTTAACATAAACCTTTAAGAAAACAAAATTAGAAAATGTAAATTGTTCAGTAAATACATACAAATATAATTATAATTACTTGAATTACATATCAAAGACTAAATTTATGTCACAAATGCACATGGTAGTATAGGAGAACACTTATGTCTTCAGGGTAGAAAATGCTAGATTAGCTATATCCAATACCAAGAATGAATAACATTATTGTTTTAAAAAAATAGTCTCAGGATATGATATGCATCATCTGAAAGTCATAAAAAATTATTACAGTGTAATGTCATCTATCTAAGTAGAGCTGAAATTAGTGGTGGTGCATTAACAATAAATGTAATAATAATGGTAAAACATGTTTATTTAATCCTACAAAAACCTCAGAAAGGGAATTATTAACCTATTTTAGAAATAAAGAATTCAAAGCTTAGAGAGGTTTCATTAAAGTTTTATCCAAAATCACACAGGTAGGAAATTCAGGAGATGAAATCAAATCCTGATCATATTTTGGTTTATAAGCAAAAATGCTATAGCTTTACCTATTTCTTTCATGTGCTGATATAATTAAGTTTAATTATCTACCAATCACTCTTAATTCTCTAACACTGTATGAAATCAGTTCTTCAGGAAACTTCTGTTAAGAGAGTGATTTGACTAACAATTCTCTAAACATCAACTCCATAAAATTAATTTGAGGCTTGAGGTGAACCTGACACTATTTCTGCAGTTGAAAACTGGATCAGTTCCATACTGCATACGTAGATGTCTGTGGCCTATACAGCAGAACAGTACAGTGCCAAAAACCAATCAGGAAAAAAAACCCAGACCATTCTTTTGGTAGTCTTTACAGATCTTTTAAGCCTGACACTTGAGTCTCAGGTGGTATCACCTGACCTGGGAACACTGTTTGATCTGTTGGCAGAATTCCAGAAGATTTGGTGTCTAATTTGAGTGAAAGAGAAGAGTTATACCATTTTATATATTTGGACACTACATACATTAGTAAAGAGTGATTAGGATCAATTCTTTCTCTTAAGGATGCAGTTACTTTAATAATGAATGTATGCATTTTCAACAGGTAAGAAAATTTAATCAAATCAGTATCAATCTAAATTTTTTTCTATTGCTTGAAGCGCCCAGTTTTTCATACTTCAAATCCTATTTCTTCCTACTTTCATAAAAACACATGATATATACTGGTCAAAAATATACCATGTATCATAAAACCAGAAAGTCAATCCCTGCAGTATAAGTGCCTACTTTTACAATAAATGGCAGGAAAATTTTTTTCAATGTTGTTCTGCTTTTTAACTTAAGCACAATTTTAGGTAAAAAGAACTCATTTGCAAAATACAAGCTTACTATTGTTTTGATTGGCTTTCCTCTTCCTTAAGTTATTTACTACTGTGCAACTAATACTTATTAAAAATTCAACATCATATAGCTTTAAAATACTTTCAAAAGGAGTACTGCTTTTAAAAGAAAATCTCTGAAAATGTCATACACACACACAAATCACATTTGAAGCAAGAAATAGAGTTTTTATTTGTTGATTCTTTTTTTTTAACTGTATCTTTGCCAAAGATAAAGGGGAAAATGGAAAATGGGCATAAAGGAGAACAACCACGATGCCTTCTTGCTCTGAATAAGCAGTGATCATATAGCCACCTGTCAGATAAGGACAAATTGAGAGAATAAAAAATTCCATGTTTGTGAAATTATAAATTTAAAAAACAGCCCAACATGGCAACTTAGGTAAATATTACGTGAATGTCAAACATCCTAAATATTTGTACTTATATGATTCTTTATTTAATAAGTCTTACCTTTTAAATATATAGTAAATGATATTAACAGATTTATATGTCTCTTAAATTATGTGTGTATGTATTTGTAGTGATGTGTACACACAGGGACAAATAGATTTACTATTTCAAAATCCTCAAGAACTATTATGTTTCATTTACAATGACAGTGGTTCTCAAGTCTGATAGGCAAATTAGCAGCATCAGTATTACATTAAAGAGTCTTAGAATACAAATTCTCACACAGCACCTGAGATCCAGAGTCAGAATGGGCCCAGCAATCTGCATAATTATTATGCATGCTAACGTTTAACAACATCACTACACCACAAAATCCTAAACTGATGGATTAGGTATAGTAGATACGCTTGTTACAAAGTCTACTAGAAATCATATGTTTTGGTATTTTAAAAAAGAAAAGCAATCGAATGATTTCAAAAAACTGAACTATGCAAGTATAATAGACAACCTCAGGTATCAAATTAAAAACAGATTTTTAATTTAAAAGGGAAAACTCAGTTACATAATAATAGGTAACACCATTTTGTAATATTTACTATAAATATGCCAGGCATGGTTCTGGGAACTTCACATATAATAACTCATTGAATCCTCACAACAACCTGCTGAGATCTATTGGGAGTATTTGGAGGTGTAGCCACAGGTGAATGGGTCAAATATGCCCATTTTACATATGAGGACACTGAGCCACAGCAAGGTTATGTGACTTGCCCAAAGCACAGAAATGGCAAAAGAAAAAAAAAGGCACGGAGCTAATAGGTGGCAGAGGTGAGTAATTAACTCTAATTGGGAATTTCTACAGTCCTCACTTTCAATCATGAGGAAATGCTGATGTTTCTAATAAATTGTTTTAAGTACTTAAATTTTACTCATGGGTTGTTTGCTTCTGAAAAGTAGGGAGTAGGTATGACAACACTATAGGTAGGTGAATGCAAATGGAGACCTTTGTCCCTGATGAAGCCAGCCTACAGGTGAGGGTTTGGCCAGAAAAGTATTTTGCTTGTTTACTTTTTAATTTGAGAGATTTTAGGCTGGACTGCACTGCCAATTCCCCTGTCTTCCCTCGTTCCCGATGTCTTAAACCTTCAGCCTCTCAACTTTTTCTTACTTGCCTGGACCTATCAGGCGTTGAGTAATGAGCCCAGGTTAACAGGTTCAGTTCACTAGTCAATAAGTCCAAAACAAAGCTCTGAAAGTCACAAGCACAGGTGATGGAATATTTGTCCTCCATTCATCACCTGGCATTAAGGTTACGCTGCTTGTGTGTGGCCTCTACCCACATGAGGAGTTTCTCTGTGGGAACTTCACATCATTCTCTCTAGGAGCCTGAGTAGGATCTGGCACAAATAATAATGAAAAAGAAAATGAACAGGGATCAGCAGGAGTTGCTTGAGCATTCAAGGTCCCAGGGTGTATATTTCTATTTGGAGTCACAGGTTGAAAAATGAGCAATGAACATAGATGCAAATCTCAAGTATTTTTTGTTTTGATTTGTTTTTTTGGTGATGGATAAATGGGTATTTATTAGTGTTTGTTTTCCTTCTTTTTCCCCAGCTTTTTGGGATATAACTGACAAGTAACATTGTGTAAATTTAAGGTATGTGTGTGTGTGTGTGTGTTACTCACCATCATGCACCTTAGATCCCTACCCCCATTTAAAAAAAAATGTGTTTACATTAAGTGAGACTTAATGTAAGTGAGACTTACATTACAAGAGTGAGACTCCCTGTTCTCTACCCACCAAGTGGCTGAAACTTGTGGTAAATACGAAGGACAGGGACAGCGATCTAACGGAAGGCTGCTGTGACTGCTCTTATCACAGTCACCAGGAAGCAAACTTCCACCTTTCCCAGGACTTGGGTTTCCTGTTTGGTGGACTAGACAACATGTTCCCATTTAGTGAAACAGGATAGAACAATCCTGCCCTGCATGATTTATTAGCTACGCTGGTTCTGATCTGAGCCAGCAGGGCAGACAGGAGGTCTGAGATACTTACAAACGTGTAAGTGTGCAGGTTAAGCTACTTTACATACCTCAAATATTCAATACTGTCCACATGTGGCTACTCTTCTAAATACTCATCACCTCACTGCACATAGATTTTCGTTATTATAATGCCAGCAACTTTATATAACGTGGTGGGTGCCCCACTTCCATGGTCAGTGGGAGGGGCCTGTGTGGATTCAGCCGTGACTGAGACCTGAGCCCAGTTTGGTCAGACTCCCACTGCATTCTAAACCTCTTGCCCTGCAGTGGGCTAAAGACTGCAGGCATTCTTGGTTCTGCCTCCTTTCTCTCCCTGTTTTGTTTCCCTCTCTGGCTACATTTTAGTGGACAATGATGAATTTATGAACCTGATTCAATCGACTTAATATTTTAAGTTCTAAGTACAATAGATAGCCTTTCTGACCTATATACAATACCAATTCTCCCATTTGCATAAATACTATCTTTAAAACATTTCTTACATAGGTTCCACTTACATTAGGTATGACTATAAAATAAAGACTATTCTACAGGTCATATAAGGCAGTCATCCATTAGGCCCAACAAAAAAAACATATATTTCACCCTCAGAACTTTGACTATCCATCTTTTTTTCTATTAAAAACTTCAGTATCCAATGATTTAAAAATATGCATTATGTATCCTAAAATATTTGACATAAAATTGAGAGTGTTGGGGTAGGTTACCTACTTTAGTGACAAAATTGTATGTACCTTTTAAGTTTTATTTGATTCCCATATTTCTTTCTTACCATGACTGAACTTGGTTTTTACAAAACAAAATGAAGAAAAACATAACTAAAATAAAGAATTGATTCCTGGGAAATTACTAAAGATTAATCTCTGTTAGTAGGACATTAAATTACCTGTTCTGGGGTGCTCTTTCCTCACTGCCTGCTCTGTGGTCCACAGTTAATAAGCTGACATTCAAAGGGACCAAATCAGAATGATATTCAAGAGGAAATACACTGTCAAGAAAATTGGAAGGGAATTACTGATACTGAGCAACTTTTCACAGGTATATGAATCAGTAAAATAGAACCCTAGATACAGACCCACAATACTATGAAAGTTGGTGCTGGCAGAGGCATCACAACTCAGGGAAAAGATGAACAATTACTTGATGTTGGGGTGATCATTTATGTAAAATAAAATTAGGTTTCTGCTCACACTATTTAAAAAAATCTGTTCCAAGGGAACTAATGACCTAACTATGAAAACCAAATCTGAGAGAGACATGAAACACCTAAAAACACAAACACTTGATAACTATGATAGTTTAAAATTTCTGCACAAAAATATCATCACAAATAAATGAAATCAAAACCACAATCTGGGAGAATATATCTGTGATGCATATAATATAAAATATTTGTTAACCTAGAAAAGAACTTCTGTGAATCAATAAGAAAAAAGATAAGTAAACTGATGGGGAAAAAAAGACTTTAGTATGTAAAAGGATGATTCACATTAGAAAGAAGATGAACATCCAACAAACAAATGAAAATATGCTCAACCTCATTAGAAATCTCAGAAATGCAAATTAACAATGAGAGTCCTTATTAAAATTATCAACTGACAAAAACTAACAATATCAAGATGTGGTAAGCATGTACAGCAAGAGCAATACTCATACATTGCTGTTGAGACAATCAGTTGGAATATCCAATTTGGAAAGCAATGTTATAATATGTCATGATAATGAAGATATTCATACCCTTACAACTAGTGATTCTAATAATAGGAATATCCGCAGAGAACCTCTTCAATATGCATACAAGGAAACACATACAGCAATATTCACCACAAGATCGATTGCAGAAAGTTATTAATCATGGTTCTCCAGAAAACCAGAATGAGGGAGAGGGATAGGGGAGGAAGAAGGGAAGAAAGATAAATTTTAAGGAATTGACTCACATGATTGTTGAAGCTGTGAAGTCCAAATTCTGCAAGGCAGGCCAACAGATTGGAGACCCGGTAAGAACTGATAGTGCAATCTGAGTTCAAAATCAGTATGTTGCCAGAATTCTTTCTTCTTTGAGGGATGTGAGTAATTTTTTTATTAAGGCCCACCCACATTATGGAGAGTAATCTGCTTTACTTGGCTACTGACTTAAATGTTAATCTCATCAAGAAAATACTTTCAGAAAATCATGTAATACAGTGTTTGACCAAATATCTGAAAGCATTCCTAGGTGAGTGGGTGATTGAGTTTCTGTGATGGTGAGAGTAATGGCCTCACAAATATGTACACATCCTAAGCCCAATGTTATGTTATGTAGCAAGGGTGAATTAATTTGCAGGTGGAATTAAAGTTGTTAATCAAATAAACTGAATATAGGGACATTATCCTGGGGTATCCAGGTGGGTCCAGTTTAATCCCAAGGGTTCTTTAAATGTGGGAAAGGGAGGCAGAAGAGCTGTAGTCAGAGAGGGAGAGGTTATAATGGAAGCATTTGCTGGTTTTGAAGATGGAAAGACCACACGTCAAGGAATATAGGTGGCCTCTAAAGATGAAAAAGGTGGGAAAAGAATTCTACCATAGTGCCTCCAGAAAGAATGAACCCCTCTGATACCTTGATTTTAATCTAGTGTGTTAGTCTGTTTAGGATGCCGTAATAAAATACCACAGACTGGATAACTTAAACACAGAAATTTATTTTCTCATAGTTCTCGAAGCTGAAAGTATAAGATCAAGGTGCCAGCAGAGTTGATTTCTGGTAAGGGCTGCTTCCTGACTTGTGATGGCCACCTTTACTCTGACTCTTCACTAGGCCTCTCCTTAGTACCTGCACACAGAAAGAGAGAGAGCAAAGCAAGGTCTCTTCTTAGGAGGACACAAATCCTGGGAGACCAGAGCATATATAAAGAGAGGAAAACAAGGTTGCTTAGCATTCATTTGGGTGAGAAATGGGAAATAAAGCTAAATAAATAATTATAGGTATGTATTTTGGTGAGCACTGCAAGTTAGTTGAAAGCCTATGAGTTGTGACAAAGGGGAGTTTTGATGGTTCTTCATAAGGAGTTCTCATAAGGGCCTTTGTGAGAGTCGTGGTGTAGGCGCATTTCCGCAGAGAGCATGCAGACACCTATTCTAAATATTAGCGTTGATTGTGATGGGCGAGACATTTACCCTCCATTCCCCTTTGTAAAACCTCCAGCTTACTCCCCTTCTTAAAACCTTCCACTGTTGCTTTCAGGATACAACCTCAACTTCTTAATGTGGCTCACAGGGGATTGCAAGATCTAGTCCTCGCCTGTCGCATTCCTTTCTTGACCCTCAGCCTGTAACACACACACGAACACAACTTCAGTGGTTCCAGCCACATTGCAGAGCCCCCCTTGTGCATTTGCTTGCGTTTTTCACTCTGTCAGAAGCAGTCTCCTCCTCACCTCCCATTTGCCCAGCAAACTTCCTGTCTTAGTTTAAAGATCACTTCCTTAGGAAGCTTTTCCTGACCCTTAAAACTTAGCTAAATGTTCCTACTGCTTACTTTCAGTAATACCCTGAACACTATCGTAACGTTTCCACATGTATGCTCAGCCTTAGGCAACTTAAGGACAATACTTTTTACTTCAGTACTGTGACGGGCATACCTAGCACTCCCAATGGTCCACGATAGGAACTTGGTACATATATATTATGTGACTGATGATCAGTTTTAGCTCCTTAATGTCATTCACTTTATAGTTTTCTATTTTTCTCCCCAATTTTAATGGAACAAATGTTGCAAGCACATTTATCTGAGTTATTTGAGTGAGTCTGTCCTCCTTACAAACAACAAAATAGATTTGTAAACAAAATGAATTGTGCAAGTAAAACGTCTTCTGCTAGTGGATAGCAATAGTAGGGAGAAAATTCTGGCAGTATGATTTAATAGGACCGTGCACAGTAGATTTATAGTAGTCTGTGATTCAATTTACATCGTCATATCATCCAACAGGGACATTCTCTGAACTATTTCTAGATGGCTGCTATCTGCTGCCAATGCGATTAAAGTTGAAATGTTTCCTAGCAACTAATTCTCAAAAGCAACTTCTAAAGCAGGAAGAAATAAATCAGTGCTTGTTTCCTGTCATTGTTAGACAGAATAACCTCAGTATGTTAATGATGGGAATCAAATCCATTGGCAGAAACAAATGCCAGAATTTAGTAGGCAAGCTGGCTTCAAGCATCTGTTTTCCAATTGTAGTTAATTTCCAACTTGGGTATATTTATAAACTGTCCTTTGGTACAAGTAGGAAAGGTAGATTTAAATTTAATTGGAATGCTTTTTTGTGAAGAAAAGTAAATTCAGAAGTCAGTAGCCAACTGGGTATTATCTTGTGGCAATTTCTGCTTAGGAATCCAAACCAGTTCAAACCCTGCAGTGTCCAGTTAATAATATTTCATCTAGTCTCCTGCTCCAGATTTTTGCCTGTCTTTCATGCTTGACCACATTTTGAGACTATGAGGCTGAGAACAGAAGTCAAGGTCTCTGTGCTGAGATGGTATTCCACTCTCCTCTGAGAGGAGAATGGTCCGCTAGTTTGACATCTTGTATGAAGACATCCTTTCTCTTCCCAGGGGAGAATTGGCCTTTATTTGTGGGTTCAGACAAACATTTTCCATTTCATTGAAAGCCACAGTACAGAAATTCAATTCAGCCAAAATTTTCCACATTGGCTTGAGCACCTTATCTCAGTTTTGAAAACCTTTGATTATTACTAACGTGATCATTTTCATTTTTTTGCTCTGGTTCTATGAGCAGGAACTTGCTCAAGTGCCTTGGGCCAGAGCTGGGCAGGTCTCTGAGGGAACCGCTGAGCACCCACCAAGGACACTCTAGTGCCCGAGCTGCGAGCAGTAATTGTGTCCTGGGAGCTTTTTTAAAGATCATTTTCCCCCTAAATGATGACAGGAATTCTCTGTTGACTTCCCTTTAAGTACCCTTCAATTATCATAGCTTTTTTTGAGCCCAAATTCTATTCAGCCTCGATACCTGGACTGGAAAGAGCAGTTGACTAGATGCTTAGAAACCCAGACATGATTTTCTGGTCATTTTAACTGTCTCTCCTGAAGCATCTCTTCTCTCCCAGCAGCTGCTCCACTTCAATCTTTCCCCTTCCTCCCTACTCTGACCCCCAAAGGCCCTCAGGCTGATAGCCAGACCTCCCCACCCCGAACGACCTTCTCCAGATTGAAAATGCAGCTCCACCCTCTTGACTTTGAATCTTCTCCCCATACCTACCCTTCAGGGACATCCAGTGATGTAACATTCAGTGTCACAACCCACCCTCCAGTGACCTGGTTCCTAGGCCCTAAACTTCTCCTCTCCTGGGCCTGGGTGCTGCCAGAGCAGGTTGAGAAACTCCTCATCTTTTGTGTTCCCGTTCAGGCCAAGGCATCTTGGGGTGTGGGGCATGAAGGGTAGGAGGTGATGGCCTAGGTGCTGTAGGAATTTCCAGTTCCAGGGTAATAGGAGACTTAATATTCTGTGGAGTTTTGCCCCAGCCCAGTCACACAGGGCAAGTAACCCCAGAATGAGTGGTCTCCCTTTGCTTTTCTGAACTTTTCCACTCTGGCATTTTTCTCAGTGGAATTGGTAGGTGTCTACTTACTGAGTCTCTTTTGACTGAAAGATGCTATCAACCCTCCTCCTGGGCTCCCCTCCACGCCCCCCCAGTACCCATCACCCATTTACTCCTCTCACATTTCTAGCCAGTCCTGGGCTCTCTGTGAATGCCTGCTGCATGATAACATGATTAAAGAGATGAAGGGCCAAGTGCCCACAGTCTCTGACTGCAGACTGCATTGAGCTGGGCTGTTGCCTCAGATTTACAGTGCCTGCTTAAGACTGACACTTCAATTGAACCTCAGTGGACACTCTGTTCTCCATTCCCCACCCCCAGACTACAAGCACTGAATAAAAGCAACAGCGAATTATAGCTGGGAATGCTGCAAGAGACAGATTCTGAGGAGCAGACACTGAATAAAAGCCTTGAGGTAAACTACCCCATACCCTGAACACGAGAAAAAGTTGAAGACTGGGATGCACAAATGGAACTATGAGAACAAACTGCAAACTAAGTCCAACTCCTGACTAGATAAACACAAGTACCGAATAAAAGGCACACAAGGAAAGGAGAGCTCATTAAAAACAATTTCCTCACCTGTATGTCCTATACAACATAGCAAAATCCCGGCGGTGCTTCATCTTATTGAATCCCATTAAGTGGTGCTCAAGTGCACTTTATCCCATTATTGATTATCACTTGGATCACTTGACTATTGTGGGGGCTTTCAGGCTTTGCTGTAAAAGTTTGTCTTTCCCCCTTTAAAATTAAAGGGGTTTGTGGGGAAGTAATTTGAACCTATATGTATCTTAGTACAAACTTTTAATTTACACATTTCTAAGTAAGTCTGTAGGGATGTGTAGAGTCCTATTTTATTCAGTAGGTCATTATCCTTTACTATTACTATTCTAATGCTCAAATGGTCTTTAATTTTGCTGGTGGGGCCCTTTCTAGTTAGTTCTTTAACCTTTTGTCATGTGGCCATCATTCTTTCAGCACCTCCCTGCTTTTCTGTAAGTTGCTCTGGGCCCGTCTTGTTTTTTCTCGGCCGTAACTGTGGGATCAACCATTTCTCAAAGAGCCAGTTCAAGCAGATGGACAATGGTCTTTAGAAGCAAAGATCTAAGACTAGGTGGGCATAGTGTGTGATACTTTTTCTTTGCTCTCTTCAGGGTAAAAAATAACAGGCAAAAGGAGCCCCTGTTCTGAATGAATTTATGACACCACAGTTCTGTATGTCACATCATCCTAAGGGAAAGAATCTGTGAATTAGTATGGTCTCTACTCAAAGGCAGGCATGGGAGAATGGAGGCAAGGCTGTAAGTACCTTTAAAGGATTTACCATTTTGTTCCATATCCTTTGGTCCTTTTAAATGCCTGCAATTGAAGAGTACAGAACCAACTGAAGCCCACTGGTGAAGTAAGAGAAAATGAAACAGACTGTGGGAGTATCATGGAAGTTAGGCCACAGAAACCATTCTACTATGGCCTGACAATGTCCGCTGTAGTGCAGGCGTGTAATAATTGTTTTGTGAATAAATAACATGCATATGTGATTTTCCTTAAATTTGTCTGGCACAGGCAGACCTCGCTTTATTGTGTTTTGCAGATACTGCATGTTTTACAAACTGAAGGTCTGTGGCAGCCCTGCATCAAGCAAGTCCATCAGAGCTATTTTTCCAACACCATTTGCTCACTTTGTGTCTAGGTGTCTACCCATCACAGTAATTTTGGTACTTCTCACAGTATTTTAATTTGTCATTATTATTATATTTGAGTTGCTGCATCTCATGATAAAACTTGAACAGGTGAGGAGTAGCCTCATGAATGAGCAAAGTGGCTTGTTGAGACATTGTCTAGCCTTGGGGAAGATGCTTGAAATGACAAAAGCAGTGACAGGGTTTCAGAGGACTGAATGCAATTTTGAAAGAAGTTCCACTATCAAACCGCTTGTCATGCTAGAGAAATTGTTCTTGAAAGGAGTTCATTGATGCAGCAGGTTTCATTGTCCTAAGAAACTGCCACTGCTACCCCAACTTTCAGCAACGACCACCCTGATCAGCCAGCAGCTGTCAACACTGAGGCAAAGCCCTCCACCCACAAAAAAGATTAAGGCATGTGCATTGTTTTTTAAGACACAATGTTATTGCCCACTTAATAGGCTACAGTGTAGTGCAACCATAACTTTTATATGCACTTGGAAACCAGAAAAGTTCATTTGACTTGCTTTATTGCAGTATTCGCTTTATTGCTGTGGTCTGGAATTGAACTAGCAGTATCTCCGAGATATGCCTGTAGGTGGTAAATCCATTCACCTAGAAACCATATTCTGTTCTGATTCAAACAAATTTTTTGATTTTAAATGATTGTTTTTACCCCATCTGATATCTGCTTTTGGAATTCCTGTGTTACGCATAAATGGAAATTGATGGGTCTGTTCCTCAGTAATCATCTTTTCTGTTTTGTATTCATCTGACTTTCTGGAGAATTTCTAAAATTTTTTACTTTGTAGTGTTATCATTCCTACTTTATGCAATCTCTCGTTCCAGGTCTCCATCACACTTTAAAATGTGGTCATATTTTTCAACTTTATTAAAATTTCACCTCATCAGAATCTTCCTTTTTCTCTTCTGCCTGTTCTAGATGTAAATGTGCAACATTTCCTCAAAACTCATCAACACTGCAAATGAAGACGTTTGTTGTGATTCCTGGTACTTTTCTCATTTAAGTTTCTAATTTTCCATGTGATGATTTTTCCCTTTGTAAATGTTTAATGAGAGCATCTTTTTCTAGTATTTGAACCTAATAATATGGGTTTCTGCTTTATCTTCTCTGCACAATTAAAGAAGGAAGAGACTGTTCAGCTCAATTGTAGATCTACTTTGCTTAACCAGATCCCGAGTCCTCCCCTCAGGTGGACAGAAGGAGGAGAAGGAAAGAGGGGAAACATGAAAGCAAGATGTAGCTGCCACGGAGATGATGTCAGTAGCACTAGCCTCATTTGGGGTTGGTTGTGGTACCTCATAAGCTAGCTTGGAAAGCCCTCTCCTTCTCTACCTGGCATAAAATAAATAAAGCCACCAAGAAACAGCCCTGTGAGTACCTTCACTTTAGTTGGCATGCTGTCTGTACCAACTATAAACTGAACATGAATGAGCAGTTACATCTCATCACGGGAATCTGGCATCCAGTGAATCACAGAGGCTAAGGAAAGGTGGTCTAGACATCACTATTCCAGTAGCACCTGCCACCCCAATGTTCTCACCGTTAAGAGCTAGTGGTGTTGGAGTTCTGCTGAAGATGAAATGGAATCTCTCCTCTAAGTTCTTATTCTCTAAACACATTCTTCCTTTGCATGAGTTAAATTGTGGATTGGGCATCTCCTCTCACTCTAGGAACCTAATATTCCCTCAAAACAGAATATTAAAAATTCCTTTAAGTTTTTGACAGGTAGAATTCCTAGTTTCCAGCACTGGTATGGATTTTACTAGAGGTTATTATATGCTTTTGCTCTTTCAAAAGGAGATTTGAAAGGGAAGAGAAGGGAAATTTGTAAGATTCAGAATATCATCTGAATTGACCATTCACAGTTTGTTTAAAGAGAAAAATCAAATATGCAAGGAATATGTCAAATGTTTTTTATTTCAGTTGTTTGATTATTGGTATAAATAATCCACTAGACCATTACTGAAATTAATACTCAGAAGGAATATATATGTTCTACTTAATTAACACCTATTTCATAACTACCATGTTTATGAATGATTGATATGAGGTAAATATTCCATGTGCAAAATAATTACTTCAAAAATTGTAACAACATTCCATTTTTAAAGTGAGTAAGTATATGTGTTCTTTGGGACAGAATCATGTCTTTTTTCACTGAAAATCATCAAAAATTGGTTAACTTATTTTCTTGCCAATGTGGAAATCTTATTTTTATAGTAGTAGATAGCTTATAGGAGAAGTTAAATACAGTGTGATTTGTTGAAAAAAACAAACAAATTTTGCTTTTCCTTGATACTATGAATATTGAGTATTATTTGAACATAATTATAAAGGAAACTGAAATTACATTCATTTTTTTAAACTTTTTTGAACATATAGTATTTGCAAAATAACAACTGCAACATATAAAATAAACTGTTACTAGATTTAATAAAATAACATAACTATATCAAAGTTACTTTAGTAAGGCTTTAATGAACTTTGGAAGTTTCGTGTTTAAATGTAAAACTTCCCATGTTCTTTCTCTGAAACACACAATGAAAAATAAAATGTATAAAAGAAGATAAGTAAGACATTTACAAGTAAGTGATATAGAAAATAAACTCTGTAATTTAAAAAAGGAAATCAAATACCTGGAGCTTCAAGAATCATAGTGTAAGTTGTATATGCTATACATTATTTCAATAAATAAAAAAACCACTGAGTTTTTCTTTTATAAATGATATATAGATTCCAAATTTTCTAAGGGGACTTTCATTAAGCCATTACCACACTCCTCCTTTCTATTTATTGCCTCCAGACTTTTCAAAATACATGAAGTCCTAGATAAAAACAAAAATACAGAAATGAGTTTTCAGCAACAAAACAGAGACCAATTCTCAGATGCATAAATGCTAAGGAATCAGACGCAACACAGTAACATAACTGCTAAACAAGAAAAACAGACCATAGTAAGTAGATGAAGGAAAAGTTGATAGCTTCAACTTTCCATTTTAATAGCAATTAAATCCTGTGATTCTATTCACTTATTGTTACTTGCATGAGTTTAATTAATCCTCTGGTAATTTCTTAAATTTCACATTTTCGCATGCCCTTGGAATGTTCCTCTTTGATTCTTCCTTCCTCAACGTTTTATACTCCTTTTCTAGTAATATGACTTTTCTTGTGACCAGAATTCTATGCACAAGTTTTAGATTTTTAGATGACATTTTTAGATGACATCTTAGGGCTGAGAATGCATCTTAGACATTTTTGGCCCAGTTTTATGATTTCTTTTTCAAACTTGTCCATTATGTTCCCCAGCGTATCTTACTACGTCAGTGTCTAAACAGACTCTCTTCCCTATGACTTCCATCAAATCCTACAGATTTTATTTCTCTCACATCTGTCATTTTCCTTTAGCCCTTCACAAAGCCATTGATTAATCCTCATCCTCATTCACTTGCAATTGCTCCATTACAATTTTACCTCTCTTCAATCCACTTCCCACACCAGGATTTAACTTTCTAAAATATGGATTTATAACTATGTTATTTATACCTAGTTCAAAACCAACCAATTAACAAATAATCGATTTTCAATTATCTTTCCAATACCTACAGGAAAGTGCCCCATCTTTGAAAGTCCTTTAGAAGAAGCCCAAACTACCCGATAGTCATTTCCTAATAGTCCTCCACCACTCCCAATTCCATTTCTCATCTAGCCAAACACCCCAGCCTGCCCCTCTCTCTTTCATACAGTCCTTCTGTTACCACATGAAACTGCACACACTCTACTCTTTGCACATCGTATCTTTGGTTACGGTGTGTATTACTTTGGTTAAACAGTTTCCTAAGGTTAAGATTAAATTTTACTTCTAATTTTGCATGAACACTTATTGAAAACACAACTTTTAAGTAGAACTGTGGTTATAATTAAAACTTTATATAGAAAATATCCAAGCTGTCTCACATTAGAATAGCAAACCTACGTCCCAATGACCACTCACCCAGTATTAATAATTATCAACATGGCCAATTTTGGTTCATCAATTACTGTATTCCCTAGATCTTCCTGCTCTCAGCCCCATTATTTAAAAGAAACTCTGTGATATCATATCATTTTATATTTCCGTATGTCAACCTTTAAAAACTTGGACTCTGTTTTGCTTTTACATAAGCACTATAAAAAAGAAAAACGTCTCAAACTTAATAATTCACTAATATTATAAAATAGCCAATGTTCACATTTCCCTGAATTCCTTATAAATATCTTTTTATTATTGGTTGCCATATATCAGTATTCAAACACAGTTGACAGTTTGAATTCAGTTGATGTTGTTAACTCTCTATTTTTTTTTTTCCTGGCATGTAATGGCATCCTTTTTCTGTATATTCTCTCACTTTTTGGTTTTTTCCTGATTTCATCCCCATGTCATTATTTAAGATACTCAACTAGTGGCTCTAAACCTTACCTGCATACTGGCATCACCTGACAGCTCTATACACATTGAAGCTTGGTCCCACCCCAGAGATTGTGATTTACTGTCTGGGTGTAGTCTTGACCCAGGGAATCTGAAAGCTACCCAGGTGTTTCTATTGTGCAACTATCATTGAACACCAATGCTCTGTCCCAGGAGTCCTTTGGTTGCATATGGAACTACCTGGGGAGCTACACAAACTTCTAATTCTGAGCTGCTGATTTCACTGAACTGTGGTATGGCCTGATAGTGGGTGGTTTTTTTTTTAAAGTTTCCTAACTGATTTAATATGAAGACAAGTTCAGAGTCACTGCTCTATCTCCTGTATTTCTTCTCAAATGGCAAGTCCATCTGACTTCTTTGGGTGAATTCTCTATTGCAGTTTACATTCCCACATCAGATGATTCAATTTAATAATGAATCAGAAGGAAATCTCCTTGTTTCATTGCGCTTTATTCCATGTAAATGCAGATTCAAACTCTTCTTCAAAGCAGCAATTTTGATTTTTTAATAAAAACCCCAAAGACCAGGGCCTCTCCTAAACACACAAGTTCCTTCTGTTACCATGTGAAACTGCATAGACTCTCCAGAGAGAAACTAATCACCTGTTAAGCCAGAATACAGGAGAAAATGGAATTTCAGGGCTAGGATTAAATGGGGCACCTCTGAATAAACCCTATAAATATAAGAATGTCATTTAAAAATGTACAGTTTACTAACCCATTTCAGAATGATACCAGAGACATCATCTATACCCAAGATTAGCAAAAACAAACTTACAATGAGGAAGCAGGCACCAAGCATTACAGCTTTGATCTTCACATCCAGGTCCAGAGGGAACTGGATGCCAAAGTTATCGGCATCTGTAAATGCCTCTCTCACAAAACCAGTCCACTGTTTAGAAATCTTGCCAACCACATTCTCTTCATCAAGAGATTTAATCTAAAACAAAAGAAACACAGCCTTAAAGAATTCTAGAAAACTAGTAAAACTGCTCTCAGAGTTGGAATAAAACGAAACAAATATTCTGTTAAAACTATGTACCATATATAGGTCTGAACATTATATCATTCATAAGATGCATTTAGATTCCTGCATCTATTGATAGATTCATGAAAAAAGCTTTTTCTTTGCTACAAGAACTTACATGTTAAAATATTTCACACTTCTTATTCTACATAAAGAGAGACAGCAATATATCATTTGAATCAATCTCAAATACAATTTAAGAAGGAAAAGATACAAATAGGACATATATCTGTGGAAATTCCTAGAAGCCATCAAGAGGGTAATAAACTAACCCCCCATGTGACTTGTGCTTTAGGAGAAGCAGAGAAAGTTTCCACAGGCTGAATGATTAAATGTGATGGGAGTGTGCATTAGTGCCCACTGTCTAGGAAAATGTGAAATGCTAAGAGCCTAGAAAGAAGACTGGCAGTGCTGAGTGAAGGAAAGTAACCAGTAAGGAACTTGATGGGCTGCCCCAGGCCAAAGGCTGGGGTTAAGACTGTACAACAGGAGGGACGTGAACAACCAGAGGAAGGGTGTTAAAAAGCTCCAAAATAGAATTTTTCTAATTTTACAATCTGCCTGAGGAAAGTCCAGGGTCATTATAAAGTCTAGAACAGATAGAGGCGGGAGATACACCTTCCTGAGTGGGCATGTTGGGGCTGAATGTCGCCCACACTCACCACGGTATGCCCACGTACATTGTGTCAAACCAGGAAGAAAAGTGTCCTTTTCAAGTGCACGTGTGGGATTGATGAGGTTAATACATAATTCAAGTAAGGTAGAAATCAAATGTATAAGCACACATGACTTGATTGTTTTTCCCACACACTCTGTTGATGTGTAATCAAGGACTGAGTGATGAGAACCAAAGCAGTTCTCATGGCTCGGAGCCACCTTTACACAGTTTTGGTTTCCTTGAGAAGCGTTGCATCCTTGGGCTAGACTCAAGGCTGGATAATGATGTTTGAGTTCATTTATTCAATAAATTCGAGAAGTGCCTTCTTGGCATTGCTCTTGCGCTGTTACGCCTTGAGTCCCCTGGCTGGTCCTTTCAGATCTTCCATATCTCTTCGTTTCTCCTCCCTTGTCTGTGGCTCAGAAGCATGGAGGGGACTGACAGCATAAAGAACCACATGCCTGCTGTGAAGCCCTCGCTCGGGTTGGGAACAACTAGTAAACGTGGGGAAACTAAAACCAGCTGACACACTTTATTAGGGATGGGTGAATCGGCTTTTAAAAAACGTGACATAAACTTGATATGAAAACAGTGACAGTCTGGAGTACTGTTCTCCAACGTTTATTCATGCTCACTTCCACTGTAGGCCCAGTACACTTCCAGCACATTGTTAATTAGGCATGGCCATGTGACTTGTGTGACCAGTGGAAATTAGAGAGATGTGGCATAAGCAGAGATCTTAAACATGTCTAAGCTGTTTGGCCTGGCTCTTGCTCTTCAGTGACCAGCCACTAGAGAAAAACATGATCCAAATAAGCTGTTCTTGCTACAGCTCCAGAAGACACATACCTGGGGCAGACTTGAGACCAATTAACAGGCTAAGTCAGAGTCATTTAGCTGCACCAAGGTATATCCCTTGAGGCACAGCTGACCTGAAGACCCATAAGCATGAGTATAAGTGCCTATTTTCCAAGCCAGTATGCTTTATGGATTATTTGTTAGGCAACACAATTGTGGCAAAATGGATTAATACAAATTCCTTCTTGTACACCTTAGTGTTTACCTACTAACAGCTGTCATCTAAGCATTTGAAGCTAGTAATGAAACCTTATGGGTTTTTTCTTAGTTATTTTTTGAAGCATTTTTAAATTTAAATAGGCAAAAGAGAATTTATCAGCCACCACAATCCTACCACTAGACCTAACAGATGTTAGCATGCCCCCTTGTGATTCCTATAGGAAGAAATTTAGAAATTCACCAAAATTGTGTAGAGTAGAACATACAACTTTTTTACTGAAAGATTCAGAAATATGAATTATGACTGAAAAGTTAACAGAACTAGATAATTTTTAGCTAAATTCTAGATAATATTTTAAAAACAGAAAATTTACAATAAAATGATTTCAACTTCTGGAAGTAATAAACTGATATAATTGGTAGAGGTATTCTAAAAAGAAATTAATAGGTTCATCTCACAATATGAATATAAATGCAAAAATCCAAATTGTACATCAGCACACAGAGCCCAGGTGACAAAAGAACAACAGCCCTTACACAGAAAGCTGTTATTACACACGAACTTAGAAAGCCTTTACAAACACATAGTCTACATCCTCCTCTGACACACACACAATGCATATCCCTTTACTAGTCTTTATAAAAATCTCTATTACATCACATGTGTTTTCTTATCAATTGCCTTTCTCTCTCATTAGACTCTGAAGTCAGTGAGGGAATGGATTCATTTTTATGTAACTGGGATCTACCAGAGGAACTGAAAATCATGACTAGAGAAGCCTGGCAGTTTTATATAAGAATGAAGCTGGATTAAAGACATTTATTTGGGCTATGATGCTAAGCCATCTGTTGAAAAACTGCTGTGATGAAATTCCTGCATGTAGTAAATAACACTGATACACTGTGGCTTACATTGGTCAATTTAATATAAGGATAAAGGAGAAACCAAGAGAATCATAACTAGTTATTTAACTGGATTGTATGTCTTACATGATCTTTCTTAACACTCTTTGCGTAAGTGAGCTTTCTGTAAGAACTCCAAGATGTTAGAACTTATTGAAGAGGGTTGAGGGCACTCTCAGCCTGTGTTTCAGACTAAGGAAGGATCCAGATGCTCTGGCAATCAGACTTAGATGACAAGGTTAATGGGTTACTTTAAATGGTAAATATGTAGTGCTTCCATAAGGAAACCCTCATGATTAAATGTTAGATGCTCTGCTTATATTTATTTGACTATAAGACTCTGCTTCTGTTTTTCCCATTTAGCATAATCAATACTGACAATTAATCTAAGCAATTAACACCTCTCTGACCAAAGTCAAATGTATAAGCACACCGTCTCCCTCTTGAGACGTTAGGATACACATATTTATTTAATATATTTGTATCATGCTGTCAAATTATATTATTCTCACATTAGAAAAGCAAAGCCCATAAATGTTAACACATTTCTTACCTCGAAATCAACATCTGCACAACAGCTGCACACAAGACATGGGCCAATAATTTTTAGTATGTCTTCTCTCCTCTCATTTTTAACTGTAAACTTTGGTAGGCATGGGTGCCACATCTGATTAACATAACCTACTGGTATACCAGGAGGAGCATGGATTTCTATCTACAAAAGCAAAAGAATATATATAAGTCATAATAATAATGTCTGATAATAACTCATCATTTGAACACTTTCTAAGTGTCAGGCACTATTTTAACCACAATTTAATTCACATCGCATCCCTACCAGGTTAGTACTGTTATCTTTTTTTACAGAAGTAACTGAAGAACAGAGAAGTTAATTAATTTGTATCAGATTTCCCAGCTGCAAAGTGGAAAAGATGAGACACAAACTCAGGTAGGCTGCATGCATAGTTACCACCCTAGAGCTCTGCTCTACTAGCCTCATCCTTTTTTAAAATTTCCATTTGAAATTATGAAAAATGTCTAAATGATTAAGGAACTCTTTTAAAACAGTGGCTTAGATTAGGAATGCAGCTCTGATCAGTGGTGCAGTTTTCAAATATGAGTGGCAATTTTGCTCTACTAACAAGAAAATGGGGCCCGGAATCTTGGCTTGGGTACTTAGCTGAGGGACCTTGAGAGTGCGTCTCTGTGTGCTCATCTGTAAGTGAGGACTTCCTAGGTCCAATTTTTATGATCAAATAGTATAATGTATGTTAATATGCTCTTTATATTGTACAGCAATTCTATCAAACTCGTGTTTCCTTACATACTAGATAGAAATTATTATAACTACCAAATGATATGGAAAACAAAGTAATTCAGTATGAATAGCTTCAGTTATCTTTTTAAAATAAGTGCAGTATTAGACTTCAAATATCTATGTGCTTCCAAGTGTCTGTCATGATCTCATAGCTACCTGTATGGAATGACTCAGTGACCCAGCAGTGCTGGTCTCAGGTCATTGGGGATACAGGCAAAGGCCCACTTTCCTATAAACTCTCTGTGTCCTGGTATCTCCTCAGATCCATGTTCTCTATCAGTGGCTGTCAAGTAATATGAAAAAAACAGTTGGGTCTTTAAATAGAGGTAAAGGTACTCACAACCAGTGTATGCCTATTTATTACCAGGCCTCAAATATATTGGCTCTTTTAATGGACAAAATGAAAAACAAAGGAATTGAGATTTTTTCAGAAGGAGCCTCTCCTAGGTCTGTTCCTTAGTAGGTTGGCCAAAAATTATAGATGAACACATCTCTTCTTTTCCTCACGTTTCTGTCCTTTTGCTCCTGGTATCACATTGTAGGATACTCTGCGTAGTGCTCCTGGTCTGGCATTGGCCAGGCCTCTTATCGATCATTTCAGGGAAGGGACTTGACCAAAGGGCCCTATTGTCTCAGCTTTTCATGAAGACCAAGAAGTCTGGTTTCTGACCAGGTGTTCAGCCCCACAAGAAACACCACCCAGGAACAGGGGGTCAACTGCTCACTGTTTTTCATCTATCTGCCTTCCATCCCATACAGTTTACTCCCAAGCATAAACCAATAGCTCATGGACCTATTTTCCTTGAAGTCTCATTTGATTATGTAAGTTCAAAGAAAGGGTAAAAATTCCTGCTGCACCACTCTGCAAAGGACCCCGGTAGCGGTCACCGACCTCCTGAAGGCAGCAAGGACAACAGCAGCTGTCACATGCCAGCGGCCTCTGCAGGGTCATGACTTCTCGGTTCAAATTATCAAGAATCCGAATGGTGAAGGGCCTCGAAGACCCACAGCAGTTTCGAGTACAGAAATCAGTATCCTCGACTGCGAAGTAAATCATCTGTCCAAGGCTATTCTTAATTTTGTATTTGTTATTAGTTTCAAAACCTGTTATGACTAAAAAAGAAAAGAGAATCATTATGACTATTATGTTAAAAGAACACTGAATCTATCCTAAGACACTATAACATCTAGTTATACCATTTTTAGATGATGCTTCAAGATACACAGGTAGGAAAAGAAAGGTGCTTTAGAGATGATGCAGAGGAAAAAAGGCAAAGTGGGAGGAGGAGAGGGTATTAAGGTATAGATAAAAAGAGTCCCTTTGTGAGACATGGAAAAGAAAACAACTCTTATCTTCCTAATTCCACAGACCTACAGCAGAAAGGGAGACTTCCTTGCTGAGGAATGTGCAGTGCTAGATGGCCACTGTCCTGCTGGTGTATGCAGACAGTGTCTACTTGCTCAGTATAGTTTTCATATACTCAATTTTGAACAGGATACAAGATGATTGCTCTGTTTATGCTTCATGAAAAATTTTATCAAATACTGGTTTCAGATTTTATTTTATATACCATATTTGTGGCTTATCTTTTTTTATTACATATGGTAAGGTGATGAGAGGGCATACTGTCAATGGACACAAACAAAAAGGGAGATAGAAAAAATGGAAGGTGAACAAAAACATCACATGAGCCCAGGGAACTCTTGCTTATGAAGAACTGGTTCAGAAAGGAGAGATGGGTACTGAACTACTCATTAGAAACCTTTCCTTTTCTTAGAGCCAAGGAGCAATTAATGGCCCTGTAAGTCCATGACCCCACTAACTTGGGTCATGGATGTCAAGAAGCCACCAAAATAATGAGTGATTCAAAGATATATATGGAGACAAAAACTACTCTCTAATATCTACAGGATAGACTTTCAGCCAGACAGATGTCTTTCACAATTCTATCATCAATGACCTCCCTTAAGTATCTTTGCTCTGACTCAGACAGGCCCTGGACTCCTCCTTTTAAAAATCACCCTTGACCTCAACATCTGCCAGTCAAATGTTTTGTGAGAAAAATATTAAACTGATTAATGGCCTGGAATCTATCACCTAAGTGTTTCACTAAGTACTTTTATCTCAAAATTCTTCACTTTGCTGATGTGTGAAATGAGACCAATGGACTTACACAATCTATTTCCTTCTAGTTACACAGAAAATGAAAACAAATAAAATAATTCTATAGGTATCTTTATTGTCTATCAAGTCTTGAACAGTGAAATACATAAGTGCCTGACATAAAATAAACTGAGTTATCTCCATCTCTTTATACTACTCATGATGTTAAAACATAGACTTTCAGTTTGAGACAAAAGAAAATAAAAGACCTCCCTTTTAAAAAAAATGAAGCATTAATAACTACTAAATTTGGAACTTGCTTATTATTTAATAATTAATAATTAATACATACGTATTTCACAAAAATATGTGAAACATAATTTTTAATGGGATGCTATATAATGTACAATGTCTGGTTTTTAGGATTTATGTCAAAAATAAATTCCCTAAAAAAAAGTTTTTTTAAAATTCAGATTACAAATTATAAAACAACAGAGAAAACTATAAACAAACTAAAAAAAGAGAGAACATTATAAATACCTCACAATGTATAATTAATTTCAATGTATAATAGGCAACAATTATATATTCTAACCAAAACTGTATCTCTACTAGTACAATTCACGTTATAATTTCTACCAGTGGGAAGGAACTTTGCAAAGAGGGGAAGGATTTAGCTGATAATATTCTAAAAACCAGTGTAGTTCTCATTAAGCTCTTTATATCTAGAAGAAAGACACTATGGTTCATGAACCTATCCAGGTACGCTTTCCCCTGACAGGAGTCCTGAAACATCTAGTGGCTTCCAAGTTTCTCTTGCACCTGAGGAGCACTGGGCCCAAGGAAACATCCTTTGGAGTCAGGCCCCATTCACTGGAGTGCTGTTCTAGAAGTCCAACTCTAGGCCTGCTGGTCAATGCCCTCTAACACTGCAGTAGCCCTGCATCCAAGGTGACAGTCCACAGCCCGTGGAACAATGGTTCTACAGGTTCACCTCAATTCCCATGATGAAGTGTGGGCAGGAATGTGATTTTCCAAAGCATACGCATCCAAACTCAAGATGTTTATTTGATGTGGAGATATGCTAAGATAACCAAACTACTGCATGTGGCCCTGTACAATCTCAGGGAAAACATAAGAAAACACCTAAGGTGATAGAATTCAGGAAAAGTGATGGAAGCACTGAAGTGATTTCCAGAGAGAAGCGAGAGCAAGGGAAGTTTTGACTGATTTCCTTCTAAGTTAGGGTCTATATCATGAGGACAAATAACCACAGTAATACTATTTTACCATTTGACTCTTAATTTCAAGAAATAAGCTATTGATAATCATCATTCTTTTGTATCACGAAGGGAGACATTTGTAAATAACCAGGTTTAATCATTCTACATCAGTGGAAGTATTATATTTTGGTTGTTGATATGCCTTATCTACATAAATGTCTTCTCTTTCTAGAAATATGATCTATATGATGAATACATACCTTCCAGAAGCTCAATTTGTTGATGCACCAGTATCTGATCTATCTGTTACAGTAGAAAAAAAAATTAAGCTGTAAGTATATATCACATTTTTTAAGCCAACCAAATTAACATTTGTGTTATCTATTAAAGAATGCATATAATCAATTATCAATATTTAATATGTAAACTTAAAATACATTTTTAAATACTTCTGAACTTTTATGCCTAGAAAAGTATAAAACCAAAGTTAACATATTTTTAATTGAAAAATAAACAATGTATTCAGTACTAATGTGGGCAAATTCAGGTCAAATCGGAATTCCTGTAAGAACTAGAAAAAAATGCTCCTCCTGGGAAGTGCTTAAAAAATATTAAGGCCTTTTCATCCACTTGAAGAGCTCTCTCTACAAATCTAAACATTTTTCTTTTTATGTGTACTTGGCATAATCATTTATAGGAGGTGATAACTTCCCTTATGTATTTCTGTAAGACCTAATTAAAAAAAACTAGAGAATTAATGAACTACCAAAAGTTCTTATAAAAATGCTGCCCAAGTGCATTGTGGGAAATTAAATTCATTCATGCAGCATGCCAGGGAGACAATGTATTTACTGAAAATAGTCAATATCACAGGAATATTTGCTTGTTTGTTTATAGGTAAGACACATAGAATTTCATATTCCTACTTTATTTACCAGATTTCTAACAACAAACACTAGACCTCACATTGCTGAGATAAAGTTATCATGTGATAAATAAAAATCCAGGAGATTTTTTTCCCTCATTGGTAGCATTAATAAAATTGGGTCTTCCAAATAACAAAAGCATTATAAACATGTAACCTTATTAATTATAATTAAAAAGTGAGTTATACACAAAATACTAACTCTTTTTTTTGGTACAATTGTTGAAGCTCAGTACTAAATTGAGTTTGATGCTTCTTTCCAACTCCTTAGATATTATTCGGTGTTGGGCTTACAAAGCACAGTATCCATAACTAAGGTTCCAGAAGTAAAATGCCATACCTATCTCCTTAGCAGTTTGACCCTAAATAAATTATGTAACTTCGCTGGACCTCAGTTTTCTCTTCTGTAAATGTTGGTAATTAAAGCACCTGTATGACAGTTTCTAAAAGGACTAAATGAGTTACTACTTGTATTATACTTAGGAACAAAGTCTAGAAAGTAGTGCTTAATAAAGTTATTGGCTTTTTAATCACAGATGATAATCATAGGAGACACAATTTTCCAAGACATTTGTATTTTGCTTTAAAAGTAAATCTGACCTAGAAGAATTTGTGTTAAGTATATATCACATTTTTTAAGCCAACCAAATTAACATTTGTGTTATCTGTTAAGGAATGCATATAATCAATTATCAATATTTAATAGGTAAACTTAAAATTTTGTAACAAATTTGTTAACAAAAAAAAATGTTTTACCATTTCAGACTTTAGTGAATTAGTCATTTGTTAATCTCCTTAAGTAAACTGGAAGCATAGTTTTGTTTTTTTATGTGTTGAAATTACCTGACTTAAATATTCCAACCCGGGTGGGCAGTCTGGTGGAGGCAGTGGTACTGGCATCCACAGTACCTGTGCAGGTCTACCTGGCTGATTATACATTGGCTGTTCTTGGACAGGAAAGCCCACTGGGCCAGCACCTGAATAACCAGCTGGTGGGTATGAGTATCCAGCCTGAGGGCCAGGATAGCCAGCCTGAGGGCCAGGATAGCCAATCTGGGGGCCAGGGTAGACAGGATGTCCTGGAGGTCCTGAAATATGAACAAGTGAAATAATTTGTAACTACACAGAAAATTGGAAACACAAACTCTTTCAGTTATCTTTTAACTAAAATTTTAGCTCAGAAATCCTGTTTCTATGAAGCATTGGTTGTGTTTTTATCTTTGAGTGGTTTTTCAGTGAAGTATCTATGATTTCATATCCACTTCTTTTTTGAGAGTTTGGGGCTGTGAATAGAGCTGGCTCAAGCCTTACCCTTATCATTCAAAACTCAGATAAAAATATCTTGAAACCTAAGAGAGTGAAATAAAATCAACAATGATCTAGATTTACCTACTTAAAGATTCTGGGATGCCTTCATGCAAAAGAGAGATGACATTGAGTAGAAGGCCCAAAATAAAGGCTTTGTGCCAACATTTCTGGGACCAAAGCACTCTGTAAAAAATGATAACTAGAGAATTGTAACAAGTGGAACCTCCTGTATATACAGAATGAAGAGTAGTTTTGTCCCCTTAAGGAATATTTGACCAGGTCTGGAGATGTTTTGACTGTCACAACCGGAAGGGAGACTGATACTGGCATTTGGTGGACAGAAGCAACAGACGCTGCTAAATACTCTGACGTGCCAGAATAGCGTCCTGAAAAAGAATGATCCCTCCCAAAATACTATGGTGCTGCTGTTGAGAAACCCTGGTGTAGAGGTGAAGACATGTCATTCCTTCCAGTACTGTCCAGATACTTGTTTGGGTTAACAATTTGCCTGAAGTTCTAATCTACAGTGTGTTCCTATCCTGAGACCCTGATCCTCTACATGAAAGAAAAAAAATCCATCACAATACTCAGGTTACAAATTTAAATCTCACAAGTTAGCACCCTGGAAAATACAATTTGAGAACCTAGAAAGGTAAAAAGTTGCAATAGGCAAAATTGTCTTAAGTATTTATTAAGCACAGTAGAGGAATAAATTTAATAAATGTATACTCTGTATTTTATGTGAATTTCTGATGACAATGAAACTTTATAAGCTTACATGTATAGACTACAGAGTAGTAATTCCATAGGAATGGAATATAATTTCAAGGGAATGTGTTCCACAATATTTTAACAGCAAAAGTATGCGAAATTTAACACTTTGATCAGGCAATTTGTAAGTATTTCTGATGGAACACTGATGACAAAGTGCATACACTATTAAAGAGAACGACTTAGAAGAGAGACCAAACTTCATACTAACATCTTTTAAATAAAGCTTTTATAATTCATTCCTTCTTATAATGAATTAAATATTTACAGATGATCCATAATGTGACTACCTTTGTTCTAGAATCAGAGGATAACAGGTATCAGTAAGGCAACAAGAGCTCATAGGCAGCTTATGGGAGAGACAGAAAAGATTTTCTTTAAAGATTTCAGATTGATCTGATGAAGAAAATACATGAAGGAGAGGGAAAGGTATCAAAAGCTATCTTATTTAGACAGATAATATTTATGCTGAGACAAAATATGAGAAGGGGAATGCTTTGTGTAAAAATCTGGTGAGAAATGATCCAGGAGGTATGAAAACCAAATGAAAAATCTCCAGCTTTAGGAATGAACTTGGCATGTCTGAGAAAGAGAGAACATGGTAGAAGAAACAACAGAAATGGCAGTCAGTAAAGAAATAGGAGCAGTTCATCTAGGAGCTCTTTAATAAAGAGCTTGGACTTTTTTCCATGTGTGATTGACACACCTTAGAGGATTTTAAGCAGAAGAGTAAGTTCCATGATCTGATTTGTATTTTACAAAGTTTTTCGGAGTAGGGAATATTGGGATTTAAAATGAGAAACACAGATGCAAGCTCTGCCCTTGACTCCTGATGGGAGATAGAACTCTATCCCTCACTCTAGGGATCTGTATTGCCAGCGTGATTTACTGATTAACTGGAATTCAAGACAAGCATTTGAAGGAAGGGACCAGGGTTTTATGACTACACACACTAAAGGGAGCTGTTTGGTTGGGGAGAGGGAAAGGGAAGGACGTGGGACAGCTTCCCTGAGGGACCGCCATTCAGTGGGCCAGTAGCACAGAAGCAACATTTCAGAGAAAAGTCCTGGGACAATAACAAATACGCAGCTTCTACAAACCTATAAAAAGGCTAAGTCTACCTGAAAGGCACAGAACCAGGCTTAAGAGGCAGTTAAAGAGAAGGCAAGGGAGCCTCTCAGGTCTGGGGGACTAGATTAAGCATTTTGGCCTTAACCCTAAAAGCAATGGGAAGCCAAAGCTGTAGACACTGAATATTGTCTGTGATATGATATGCATTTTTAAAGATTACTGGCTATAATGAAAAGATCATACTATAGGCAAGCCAGTGGGGATGAGGAGATGTGGGTTAACTGGCTACATTATTCACATTATTTTAATTTTCTCAGGATGCTTGGATAGAGAGTATAGTATAGCTCCCAAATCAATGGATTAACCATGTAGAATTACATGAAATTTGGATATTATTTTCCTTTAGAGAAAACTCAATTGATTTAACATCATTAATATAATAGCAAGTATTTCTCATTTATTATTTGTTAACCATTATGCTAAATGTTTTACATATTCTGTCATTTAATCTCTAAACCAACATGATTAGAAAATATTGTCCCCAATTTATAAATGAATTTAATTATGTATCTCCTACTTTTAATTAGCTATGGGCTAGATTAACTCTTTCTCCAAATGATTTAGATGAATATTATAGACTTGCTAATATTCTAGAAACACCAACTATATAATTTACAGCAGCGATTCTTAGTCCTGGATGCACATTAAAATTATCTGGGGAATTAAAAATTACCAATCCCTGAGTCCCAGTACCTAATCATCTGCTTTAATTTTCCTGGGATAGTGCCCTTGTACTAGTGTTTTTAAGACTTCCATATAATACTTAAGTGCAGGTACCTCTGATGATTATCATCTTAGAACTTTAGAGCTTTTCTAGCTTATCTTGTAAATGCAAGCATCTGGATGAGATCCAGGCCCCATTGGGAGAGTTCTGGCTTGAGAATTAAATGGCCATTCAGCTTCCAAGCAGTTTTTTGTCTGTCTGTTTGTTTGTTTGTTTGTTTAGAGTAGAATACAAAATGAATACATCCTTCTGCCCAATTCTTTTGATCCTAAGTTTCCAGGATGGTCTCTCAACATGTGGGTAGCCTACTTACTTGCAAATCTGGGTACACTGTGAACTTTTACCATTTAGTAAAATTCTAGTAATTTTGAAACTTCATCTAAATGAAAACCTCTGGAGTCTTTGATGTATTGGTTCAAAGGAAAAAGTAGACATAGTATGTAGTGATATGACTCAATTACTTTTCTTAGGTTCAAGGCACGATTCAGCATGTGTACAAAGTAAAGCCTTCATATCTGTTACTAAATCAAAATGAGCGAGGTAGCCATTTCTATTGCTTTCAGCTTCTACTTTAAAGTAGTCATGTCTTTTCTGTGAGTCTCACTGACCATGATTAACCTCAGCTAATACATGACTCAAAAACACCCAGTTTTTTAATCCAAAAACCTGAATATTTGAATATGAAAAATCGGAAAATCCCAATACTGAGAACAGACAGATGGACAATCAATACAATCTTTTACTTAACATGCAAATTTTGGGGTTTAACTTATTTACAACCTCATATTTCACTTATTAAATGTAAACTATCATTTTTATTAACTCTATGTTTTTACTGTGCTGTATCCATAAAAACTGCTTTTATCATTTTTATAATATGCAGTCCAAAAAAAACCATGAACAGTTAGGCTGTCAATTACATTATTGTGCTTTAAATAAAAGGCACTATGAAAATAAATACACACATAGAGACAGACACACACACAACATGCACTCTTTGGGGAATATAAAAAATCAATTAGTTTTGTTTTTTTATTCTTATTTTACCTTGGAATGCTGCTGTAGGATACTGAGGAGGACCCCCGGCTGGGAAATTTGTTCCTGAGTCAGGAGCATTCTCTTGCACATCTGCAATTCAAGGAGAGGTAAACATATATTTGCTTTAATAAAACATAGATGAAAAATGCCTTGTCTTTAGATAATTTTCATTTGTATGATCTTGTGCTACATTGAAATAGAAAAAGTGAATCCTTCACTTAACAAAAGCTGTTCCTGTTGTCAGAGTTGATTTGCAGTAGAACTGTTTCAAACAAATTCTCTTTTAAAGTAAGATAGTTGAGCAACTGGGGCTGAATTTCTAGTTCTTAAATATGCCTGATGAAGTGTTCATGTCTATACTTTGAATTTGTTGGTATTAGAAAAAAAGGATTGTTTAAAACAGCACATATAGATTGTGAACAAAGAGGTGAGATTAGTTGGATGTGGGGATGGTAATGGATTATGGATTATTTTAAAGATACCTATAATTATTGCTATAAAGAATTATTTTTAAAACATTTAAAATAATGCATATATTTCAGTATTTAAATATCATTTTTTATGTTTACTCTGGAAGTACCCCAATAAGGCTGAACCATAGGAAATTCTCAATTTGATTCTGACAAGAATCATAACTGGCTTAATTACAATAAATGTATTAAACTTTGTTATCTGCTAACCAATGTGGTATGAATAACCTTAATGTATGCACAAATGGTTCAACCTCCTAGTTCTTCATATTTTTGTTTCTCTAATCAATCATTTAGTGGACAACACAGACAACAAACACATATAATTTTTAATTAAGGCATCATTGATACACAATTTTATGAAGGTTTCACATAAGCAATATTGTGGTATTATCAAGTACCCCTCCACCCCACTGCAATCACTGCCCCATCAGCACAGTAAGATGCTATAGTTATTTCTTATCTTCTCTGTGCTATACTGCCTTCCCTGTGACCTACCTATATTGTGTGTGCTCATTATAATGCCCCTTAATACCCTTCTCCTTTCCTTCCCCCCTCCCCCTCCCCTTCCCTTTGGTAACTGCTAGTCCTTTCTTGGAGTCTATGAGTCTGCTGCTGTTTTGTTCCTTCAGTTTTGCTTCATTGTTATACTCCACAGATGAGGGAAATCATTTGGTACTTGTCTTTCTCCACCTGGTTTATTTCACTGGGCAAAATACCCTCTAGCTCCATCCATGTTGTTGCAAATAGTAGTATTTATTTCTTTTTATGCTGAATAATATTCCATTGTGTATATGTACATCTTCTTTATTCATTCACCTACTGATGGACACTTAGGTTGCTTCCCATATCTTGGTTATTGTAAACAGTGCTGCGATAAACATGGGGGGTGCATATGTCTTTTTGAATCAGGGATCTTGTTTACTTCGGGTAGATTCCTAGGAGTGAAATTCCTGGGTTAAATGGTATTTCTATCTTCAGTGTTTTGAGGAACCTTCATACCTCTTTCCACAATTGTTAAACTAATTTACATTCCCACCAGCAGTGTAGGAGGGTTCCCCTTTCTCCGCATCCTCACTAGCATTTGTTGTTCCTTGTCTTTTTGATGTTGGCCATCCTTACTGGTGTGAGGTGATAATTCATTGTTTTAATTTGCATTTCTCTGATAATTAGCGATGTGGAGCACCTTTTCATGTGCCTGTTGGCTATCTGAATTTCTTTGGATAATTGTCTGTTCATATCCTCTGCCATTTTTTTTATCAAGTTACTTGTTTTTTGGGTGTTGAGGCATGTGAGCTCTTTATTTTTGGGTGTTAACCCCTTATCAGGTAAGTTGTTGACAAATACATTCCTCCATACTGTCAGAGAATAAATATTTACTGAGCATCTCCTGTGTCACCCCTGAGTTAGGCTCTGGGGCTACACTGGCTCTGCCTTCATTGAACTTATGGTCTGGTGGACACTATGCTTAAATCATGCTCTCCTCTCTGTCATCATGGCTTGCTAGCTGTAAATTCAAATTAGTTTCTCTTTGAATCATGGGGACAAAGCATGAATATAGAAGAAAAGGTTGGTTAAACTTCAAATCTAATACATTTTCTACATACTTCTCTATCATGGGCCTTCAAAGACCACTTGACTCATGTGGTTTCAGCAGGGAGGCTGGATGGTGGGCCCTCTTTCTCCTCCATTCACTTGGCTTCATAATATCTTTAGATGAATGGAATCTATGATGATCGTGAAAATTCAGGCAATAGGGAATCCTCTACTTCAATCAGGGATTTTTTGTGAACAGACACTGCAACATATGCCAATTTGTCACAGATCCCTAAAATACCACAAGTCATCCACCCCAATCATTCCCTTCTGTTTCTTGGCTTTGATTGGCCCAGCTCCAAGGTCTCTAGCTATCAAGGTTCTGCCTAAAAGCCCCCACTCCCAGCATGAGCTGGAAATGACAGGATCAAACTCAACAGCTCTCAAGGAAACACACTGCAAATTTGACTTATAGACCTACCCTTATGTGGTATATCACACTTTGGCACCTTTTAATAGGTACCATTGTTTAAACGACAGCAAATACACACACATATCCAGGAGCTGATAGATTCAAGAAATTGGGACTTCATAATCTCTGGGGTTTTGGTATCAGAGCAATGATCCTAGTTTCAGGAATTTTAGGGATAATTTACATAAAGAGAAAATAAGTGAATGGGCAAGGAGTCAAGTAGATAGACCAAAGCACATATGAATTATGAATGGGTTTCTGCATATGTGAAATGCAACTTAAAATAACTTAGAAAAATCATAGGACTGTCACATTGTTGTAAAGACAGTTTATTTTTACTTTCATATATGTGTATTTTCATACATACATATATACTTCTATTTTTCTTCATGCATACACATATGCACACACACATGTATGAAGCTGAAGAGTGTAAAGGTGACTATGACTATGGCCAAAAAAATCTTTCTAAAGTGATTTGAATCATCTGAAAGCTTGTAGTAAATAAAATAGCTTAATACCATATAACTTTACATTTAAAATACTTTGAGTTTTGCAGCAGCAGACTCACAAAACCCAAGAATGGACTAACAGTTACCAAAGGGGAAAGGGACTAGGGAGGGATAAGGGGGAAAACGGGGCCTTACAATTAGCACACATAATGTAGGGGGGGGCATGGGGAAGGCAGTATATACAGAGGAGACAAGTAATGACTCTATAGCATCTTACTATGTATGCTGATGGACAGTGACTGTAATGGGGTATGTGGGGGGGGACTTGATAATAGGGGGAATCTAGTAACCATAATGTTGTTCAAATAATTGTACATTAATTATATCAAAATAAATTTTAAAAAATACTTTGGTTTTGCAAATAGAATTAGTAATACAGCAAACAGTGAGAAGATCATGAAAATTTAGGAAGGAAAACTGAGGCTTCTGGTCCTAATGAGTATCTCATATATCTAGTGAGGCTGACATTGTGGAGAGAGAAACACTTCTTTGGTTTCCAAAGGAAGGTAAATAGGGAATATAAATCTTTTCAGGAAAAAGTATTTTGTTTTCAAATTTTTCCCCATTGTATTGTTGTTCTCTTTAGAATGTAATATTTTTAAAAAGACAAAGTCTCTTATTACATGCTTGGTCAATACCCATCTTAATCAGCATTTTCTTGAGACAAAAAAGCCAGAACATAACGATTGGTATTTATTTAAACCTATTCACATGTGTATGTATTGAGGACATATTTGAGGATTTTATTACGATGGACTGACATATTAAATTTATTATGTTAAAAAATGTGATTTGAACAATGTTTATGTATATAAAATGCACAGAGAAAGGGAAAAACTGATCTGAATGGAATATAAGTTACACATCGTATTTCTCAGTAAGCCTAAAATTTCTTAGATCTAAGTTTTTTTTAACTTTAAAGGAAAAATTAGTGATGGTGGATATATGTGTACATCTTCTCTAAGTCAAAACACTGAACTAGACTTTGGATTCTGGAGCACAGACACTACAAAATAAATTCTATCCCTTTAGAAACTGAATAAAATATTATGACAAATAACATGCTGACAAAAGATTTACCATTAGAGGAAGAAAGCACACACAAAGTAAATTACTTACTTTGTTTGTCCATGATTTGAAGAGTTCTGAAAAAGAAGACCTGAGATTAGTATGTCATCCATAAATTTACAGGTTGAATATAACAGTGGAAACAAGATAATCTGCAACTGCACATACACATAGGGTATGCATCTGGTGTTCCAGAATTTAACCCTTTGTTCTGGACCCTATTCCCCACTGCTGTGGTTCTGAGTAGGACTTCACAAGTTGTGGGTCAGCCCAGGATGGTTGGCAATTTCTGAACACCTTGGGAGGACAGGGTCCACTGGGCAGAAAGCTGCGAAGGAAACATTGTAAGCCTGAGACCACATATGGTAACCAAGTTAAAAACTGAGTCTTTCACTTCTGCATCCACGGTTGTTTTGTTGCCCTTGTCTAGCTTGGATTAATACTTAGTCTATAGGCACAGACCTGATCATCTACATTTGCCCTCTTACAGCACTAAATTATGTTTTCTACCTTTATCTGGCATCTACCTACCACTTCAGCATTTTATTAAAAATAATAATAATAATAACAATAATAATAATAAGGGAGAAATATGGGATTCACATATAAATCAACTATAAAAATCAAACGAATAATCATATTTGACCTGATTGTTTATAGTTCATGATGCATGATCAAAACCGAAAGTTTCTGTGATGACTGTTCACCATGTAAGAACTTATTCACTATGTAAGAATTTGTTCACCATGTAAGAACTTGTTCATTATGCTTCAGAAGATTGGAGACTGTTGAGAATTAGCCTTGGGGTTGATTAATGATTGTGCATTGAGTCCCCTATACAGAATTTTATTGTTGTTAACGACCATATGATCAATAAATATGAGAGATGCCCTCTCAAAACAAAAAAAAAGTGGGGGGGGGGG